AAATTCATCTAAAAATAAATACTTGCGAAATATGTGACCAATACATCACTAAATGACACTGTAAATATGTTCAGTTTTCTTGTCCAACTTGTCTTTAATTTTAAAAGTGTCTTTGAACAGTGGAAACACCAACGGTTGCAGGAAATTTCAAAATTGCGACCATCAAAATAAACAGTTATGTTTTTATTTTATATATTTTTTCAAGATGGTCTTCCTCTCTTCCTCCTTTTTTTTTTAAAAACCCGTACCAGAAACATTTTTTTTGGTATTCGGCCTAAGAATATGCAAGTATTTAGGGGGAACTTATAATAATTTTTTTGCGACTTCCGTTGGGTAATAGGGATGTTCATGACACGCTTTCGGCGGTGACCATAATTCTCGACATTGCTTTAAACCCGTCCATAGCATGAACTTCATATGTTTATTGACATCAATCCTGATACAGGGGGGTACATATTACCGTGAGGTCATAGTGACGCCTTAAGGCATTACATAAACGATATTAGTTGAGAATGTGATGATCTTCGTCCAATTATAACCCATAAGCTAAATAAACAAAATCATGATCAAGCTTGGTAATCTAATAGACCATGCATTGATAAATATATTTGATCTTTGAACGCAAACTCGCTTAACATTTCCTTCTGGGTTACTAGAAGGTCAAACGTTAATGTGAATTTAAAATACATATACAATCCCTTAAATCAAAAGGAAACCAACTTCTTCGAAACGGATCGAGGGATGAAGAAAGAAACCTATATATGAATATGAACCCATTTCCGAAGATGAGGGGGAAATGCAACGTCAATCATGACATCTACAGGTAGTTACAAACGTTCGAGGTTTAAAATTGAAAAAAAAAATCAATTTTATCGACTGAACGATAAAATATCTTACACGCAGCACGAATGGGTTTTATGTTTAATGATTTATTGGAGTTCATGAATAATGCATTAATGAGCGGATTGGCTAGCCCAGCAGCAACGTGGTTAGACAGAGGCAAGGTGTGGGCTGTTGTCACGTGGAGAAGACCACTTCGTTGCAGTAAATGAATGTGGAAACATCGTTATCGCTATTCTCCTGTTCAGCATCAAGTTATACTTCGAAATTTATCCGAAGTTGTCTTCAAATTTCTTAAGGGTAGTTTCGTTGTCTGGTTGAAGTTGGATCTCATCGAGTAACTTCCAAGAATGCCTAAATCCACCCGGTCATCAAAGAGCTAACAAGCAAGGCGTGGTGAGTCTGGGGTGTCATCTTTGCATGCAATGAACATTAATCACGCTTCTTTTTTGCGAGCCAGCCACGACTGGCTCGCTAGATAGTAGTGGTAATATTAATATGTAATGTTGTGAGCTTGTCACTAGCACATGGATAATAGTTGTTGCTTCGATGCTTGTTTGGTTTATTGTGTCTCAGTACATCTCAGTACATCGCATGAGGTTTATACTTATCAAAGGGCTACATTGTTTTAGGGTGCAATCTGATCCAAGTTGGGGCCTTATTCATTATTCATTAATAGTAAGTTGGGGTTCATGCATTCCAATGAGGATGAGGTAATGTCTGGGTTTGGGTGTGTGGTTTCAGATCACTAGGTGCCTAATATACATAGCTTTCATGCAAGGATACTACATCCCTCCTCACCTTAGAATGGAACTGGCTAATATACAGCAAGAATGCAATGAATAATATAATGGTGCATGATTTAAATCTAGATCTAATTTTTTTGGAAACAGTTGATAAATCTAAATTTAATTTTATACAGTTAATTAGTAGAGAAATGTTCATTGTTCGATGTACAAAGTTCATGAACATGATGAAGCAGTAGATCAAGTTAGACTGGTTTATAGTTTAAGAGAAAGTATGATCATGCACAGGGTAAACATAAAGAGATTCATTGCGGTATATACAGTTCAGTTCAGTTGTTTCCGATGATCAGTGTTCGAAGTTAAAGTTCAGTCGTTTCCAAAGAGTTGTTGGTGTTCTAGTTGTGCTGCACTCTCTTTCCATTGTGGATGCAGATATTATTGATGGCCCACTTGGCCAGGCCAGAATTGACGTTCGTTAGTCCATGGTTGCATCATGGTCAGAGTTGACGTGTGTCAGTATGTTGGTGTTGTGATTTACACGCTTGTTTGTTATTTGGTGTCATTATTAACACGCGCGTTTGTTCTTCAGTGTCGTTGCTTAACACGCTTGTTTGTTCTTTGGTGTTGTTGATAACACGCTTGGTGGTTGGCTGATATTGTTCGATTAGAACACGTAGTCATCTTCGGAGTCGCTATCCGGAGAGCTTGGTGGTTCGTCGCTGATAATGGCGTTGGACATGTTTGGCGCCCGTCTGCTGTTCCGTACTCCGGTAGATTTTTGCGTAGTGGTTTGAAGCAGTTGCTGTTGCTCGGATGATCACGAGGGTCATGACTGGATCTTGTAGTAGGCGTTTTTGCGGGATGCTCTGATCCGCGATGCCGAGAATATTTATGGCAAGGTTGTGATCTGCCATGTCTAGAGGTGGTCTGGTTCAGCTTTGATGCCTTGTGCCATCTTGATATGTTGATATATCCTCACAATTTTGTTATCCCGTCCTCGTCGCCAATGTAATGTAGTGAGCTTGTCACTAGCACATGGATAATAGTTGTTGTTTCGATGCTTGCTTGGTTTATTGTGTCCCAGTACATCTCAGTACATCGCATGAGGTTTATACTTATCAAAGGGCTACATTGTTCTAGGGTGCAATCTGATCCAAGTTGGGACCTTATTCATTATTCATTTAGTAAGTTGGGGTTCATGCATCCAATGTGGATGAGGTAATGTCTGGGTTTGGGTGTGTGGTTTCAGATCACTAGGTGCCTAATATACATAGCTTTCATGCAAAGATACTACATAATAGTTTTAGTAATTTTGCACGGGTTGACGATTCCGTCTCCCAGCTCGGCGATATTCGGCCTGTACCGGCCCCAGCCATGACAGCACTTGAAAAAGGACTTTCAACGATAACTTTTGCCATGAATGAAGAACCGTGTTCATTTTTTGTGAGGTGCGTTGGTGATTGCCTTCGGTAACATTTTTGATTTCCGAGCACAAATCCGCTTGGCCCTTGCTTCCTTTTTTACATGAAGTTTAATGAGAAATGAATATACTTTGAACTATTTACTACATTTATACTGAATGACTAAATGTTTATTATGGGATGCCAAACTCAAATAAATACATTGTAACGCGCGCAATAAAATAACATTGAAAAACTAAGGAATTTAATTCGAAAGAAAATTTCATTAATTAAACAATGTACCCCAAATAATCAAACAAACAAATATAAAAATTTTAAATGAAAATAAAACAAACATTCAACTGGGTATGAATTAGACGAAATACCAATATGGTGCAGCGGATATGTGACAAAATTGTGCACTTTTTCATAATAGCGTGAAACATGGCTCATATTCTTTGTTCATATTAATGTGGCAAAAAGTTTTAGATGTGGAGCCATCCCAAATTCACCCTTTTACGGGCGTGGCAGCAATATAAAAAAAGGGGGACTCATCATGCCCGCAGTGAAAACTGGGTTGTTTCCACTTGTCACCAAGGCAGGAAACCTCACAAAGACATAATTATATAGATTATAAGTGTTTTCCAGATGTGGAACCATCACAAAAGCACCTTTTTGGTGCGAGTGGCAGCCATTTAAAGGGGGGGGGGGGTAATTGTAGGTTTTCCCGGCCAACTTCACCATTAACCTGGCTCATTCAGTTTAGATTGAAATTGAAAGATCACACAGATCGTCATTCGATAATCAAAAAGAATCATTCAACTTGACTATCCGAGCAATCTATCGCCTTCAAATTAAAAGTATCCCATTGTTCATTCAATTTCGCCTGAACCAGTAGTAGGGGGTTGATCGGGCATTCCTCTTCATTAATGGGCAAACGTATTTCCCATTTTGCCAAGCATGTTTTAAGACTTTTAAAATTCTAAATTATCTCGGCGTAAATCATATTTGATGTTTTCAATCCGTAAATGCACATCTCTCTTTCTAAATTAAAGGATTCGTGCGAGGAATGTTTCTCAGGAACACATTTTGCTTTCTACTACTAACTTTCTACTACTCTGAAATGTATGAAAACTATTCAGACATCTTACGATCCTTTTTTGGTTAGTGAAAGAAAGGGCAGGACAGGAGATTGGTGACGAGTCTATGATTGGTTGATTTGCTCTCCTTTAATTACTGATTGTTCTCACATTACAATGATGAAGATAGTAGGTGAGCTGATTAGGTTAATTTACTGATGAAGACTTTAAGCCGTGGTATGGGAGCCGTGAAATGCAATGTAGGTTGTGTAAGCCGTGTGGTAGGCCGTGGTTCTACAAGAAAACCAAATTAATACAATAATAAATATTGGAACCTACATTTATGAGGTGACATGAAAACATATGAAAATGGACTAAGATTCGTGTAATAATTTCCCCAGTATCAACTAAATTATCTAACAAACTGAGGGATTAGATAAGCTATTATAAGCCCCAAATTACACTAAATTAACCAGCAATAATGATAAAATATGAGGGCATAATCCTTAGTAAAAAGATCAATAAAATGTACGTTCATGTACCCATAAAACAACATGTGAGGAAACCCACGTTATTTATCCATTACAAAACCCCCCACAAAATATCCCTTAAAATCATCTATAAATCTACTCACTTTTAGCTTCTACGCATGGCCGCTGATGGACGGCATACAGATGATTAGGAAAATTTGGGTTAACCTGGGATTTTACGTTTGATTGAAGGAATAATTGCGAGGTTTATCGGAATGATTTCAGGACAAATGTGACTAAAATTGGAATCACGTTGGAATTTTCTAGATTCATAATCACGAGAGGGCGCTATACCAATTTAACGCTTAGACACTTTTGTACAGCCGCCCCTAAATTTGAGCATAAAATTTACTAAATCTGAAAGTGTCCCTAAGAATTACAAGAGTATTGATACAAGTTAACAGTTTAGGTGTTGTTGGGTTCACCATCGGGTATGTTGTCGTCACTGACCTCCGGAAACCTGATCAGTCGTGCCACTGGGCGAGTGTAGGTTTTACCTCGAACGCTCACGCTGGCAGTGCGGACACGACCGTCGGAACCCGGAAAGGTCTCTGCAACTCTTCCGATGGGCAACTGAGCTCTGCTGAGTGCTGGGTCGACAATCATAACGACATCAATGGTGGTCAGGTTCGGACGGTCTGTACGCCACTTCTGGCGTTCCTGGAGAGTCGGCAGGTAGGATTTGACGAACCCGGACCAAAAGTGATCAGCGAGGACCTGGCTATGCTTCCAGCGTCGTCTGCCAAGTAAATCCCTTGCAGGATAGACAACCTGAGGGAGAGTCGCATCATGCCGCCCCATCAGCAGAAGGTTTGGATCGACTGGATCGGGATCTGCAACATTAGATGAGACATACCCCATAGGCTTGGAATTTAAGATTCCCTCGACTTCAATGAGCACAGTGCGAAGTACTGACTCGGGGACGGACTGCTCATTCAGGGCAACTCTTAGGCCATCTTTCACGGACTTGATCTCCCGTTCCCAGGTTCCTCCAAAGTGTGGAGCCTTCAGAGGGTTAAACACAAACTTGACCTGGTGCTTGGCAAGCTCCTGCTGTATGATAGGATCCATGGCAGCAAAGGCGTCCCGTAGCTCATTATCACCTCCTTTGAAATTAGTGCCACAGTCGCACAGGATCTCGAATGGTTTCCCTCTTCTGGAGATGAACCGTCTAAAGGCCATCAAGAACGCGTCAGTATCGAGGCTGTCTAGTAGGTCAAGGTGAATGGCCCTGGTGGTCATACATTTAAATATGATCCCCCAACGCTTCTCGCTCCTTCTCCCAATCTTGCACGTCATTGGACCGAAACAGTCTACCCCTGTTAAGTAGAAGGGAGGCTTGAAGAGGCGGAGGCGTGCTGGAGGCAAATCTCCCATCTTCGGAACTTGAGGGCTAGCTCTCCACTTCTGGCATTCGAAGCACTGGCGTTGATGTTTTCGGATTGCTTCTCTTCTGCGTAGTATCCAAAACTTACGTCGGATCTCTGCCAGGATGCGCTCAGGTCCGTAGTGGAGCAACTTCTCATCGTAGTCACGGATGATAAGCTTTGTTATGGGATGAGCTGGATTCATCATGATGGGATGCTTGGTGTCTTTGGGTAGATCTTGGGTACGACGAAGACGTCCTCCCACTCGGATGAGGCCCCAAGATTCGTCATACTCTGGAGCAAGCTGTAGGAGTCTGCTACCACGGGGGAGCTCTTTGCCTGCTTGGATGCAAGCAATCTCCTCTGGGAAGGAATCTTGTTGAGCACGCTGATAAAGAAACATCTCGGCTTCTACCCGTTGTTCAACCAACTTGGTAGGATCAGCATCCTCGGCCGCCCCATGAAGATGCTGCATGGTAGCTGCAACAAGGTCACTCCAGGTGTCATGTTCGGATGGATCAGGTAAGTTGGGCTGAATGACGACCACAGCACCGCAGAAGGTTGACTTCTTGAACTCAGATGGGTCTTCTGTCTGTGATGTAGACGGGTGAGCTGGCCATGTGTCGGGAGTCAACCGGAGGAAGGAAGGACCATCTCTCCATCTATTGGCTTGGCTGAGGTCAACCAGGGTTTTGCCTCTTGTAAGGTCATCCGCGGGGTTGTTCTTGGTGTCGACATACCGCCACTTGTCAACATCGGTCAGGGTCTGTATTTCTGCGACACGGGTGCCAACGAACACTTTATACCGGCAGGATTCTGATTGCAGCCAGGTGAGCACAGTAGTCGAGTCACTCCACAGGATGACTTCATCAAGAGGAAGAGTCAACTCTTTCTGGACAAGATCAGCTAATTGGGCACCGGCTAAGCTGCAGAGAGCTCTAGACGAGGCATTGAGAGTTGCCGTTTGGGGGCAACACGGGACCTGGCCATGATGAAGCTAACATGGACGTTGTGATCTTCATCTTCTGTTCGGATGTAAGCCACAGCTCCGTAAACTCTCTCCGATGCATCACAGAAAATGTGAAGTTGGCGATGGGCAGCCTCTGTCTTGACATTTGGTGGTGTGTAGCATCTGTTAAGCTTCACTCCAGTCAGGTGGGGAGGTTCACTCTCCCAGGCTTGCCACTGGTCTCTGATATCACCCGGCTCAAGTGGATCATCCCAGTTGCGCTTCGTCTTCCACAGGTCTTGGACAATGACTCTCGCTCGGGCTGTAAATGGGGTTAGGTACCCTATAGGGTCGTACTGGCTCGCGAGGATCTTATACATATTCCTCATGTTGAGGCAGTCATAGCTGATGGGTCTGTGGCGGTACAGCAGGGCATCTGAACTGCATTCCCACAACATACCAAGTGTGCCTTCAGTGGAATTGGTCTCCCCGAAGGTTAACCACAGCTCACAGCCATCAGAACGGGCATCTGGTGGGAGATCTTCTACTACAGCAGGAACTTTGCTGGCCCACTGTCGTATTTCAAACCCACCGTCAGCAAGCAGGTTTCGCATCTTCTGGACAAGGGCTTTGGCATCTGTCTCGACCGGTAGACTCTGCAAGCAGTTGTCAACATAGAAGGACTTGTCGACTGCCTTTGCAACTTCTGGATAGTCCTTCTCATGGTCAAAGGCGTGCTTTCTCAGAGCATAGGTAGCACAGCAGGGACTACAAGTCGAGCCAAAGGGAAGCACCTGCCATTCGTAGATGTCTGGCTCTTTGTCGACTTGTAGGTTGCGCCACAGGAATCGGAAGAGGCATCGGTCTTCTGGTAGGAGGCGTACTTGATAAAACATCGCTTTGATGTCTCCTGAGATTGCTACTGCGTGTTGTCTGAAGCGGAGTAGTACACCTATGAGTCATGCACCGAGTGTTGGCCCTGGCAGAAGGTGCTCATTAAGGATCTGGTTGTTGTACCGGAAGGAGCAGTTGAATACTAGTCGATACTTTCCGTTGTGGTATACGGTATGGTGTAAGATGAACCAGGATTCTTCGGACTTGTCTGCTTCATCCTTTGGCAAGATCCTCACGTGACCCGCATCGACCAACTTGGCGATTAGCTCGTTGTGTTTCTCGGCAAGCTGTGGGTATTTGTCGAGTCTCTTCTCGGTCCCCTTCCGAGTCGGTAGCACTGCCTCTTTTGGGTCATGGAATTTCATCTCATCCCCTTGCCTCAGGAGCGGAGTGGCGTAGCGCCCTATCCCGTTGACTTGAACGCGTTGAGTTGTGGCCTCAAGCATCTGAACTGCCTGTTGATCATGCTTAGAACGGGTAGCTTGCTTGTCATTCAGGTACGGTAGCACATCAGCCTGCCACAACCTCTCCACGTGCTGCATGAAACAGAGAAGTTTTGTGGAAACAGAGAAGTTTTGAAAACCTTCTGTTCTTTCAGCTGCTTCTGGTTCCCTGGAGGGTCCAACCCAGCTTAGTGTTGATGGCAACTGGAGCTCCACGTGTGCCAGACTTGATTGGATGTCTTGCCACGATGAGATCTGCCTGATCAGATCCAATGAGGACCTGTGGAGAAGCATTATTGATTACGGGCAACTGAAGGTGACGGAGATGGGAGTAGCGGTGTTGCAGATCTTCAACAGGATATGTGTACTGGGACAGGCACAAGTTACTGGCTCCAGTTACAGTGTACATCTCTTCAGGTTTGTCTCTAGCTGACATCTGGAAGGTACAAGACTGGCCTTGACATTCAACAATGTCTTCACGAACAGTCCTGAGCAACATAGTCTCTGGGTTGCCATGAAGCTTGAGTCTGGCAGCTGCTGACTGGAGTAGCATGGTTCTTTCAGAACCGTCATCCAGTATGGCATATGTGTCGATGGATCCCCCTGGACCATGGAGGGTAACTGGGAGAATCTTGAGCATGACGTTGTGGGGACGAGTTGGTTTGTCCACGAAGACTGCTTGGTTGGACGTCTGGAGCCTATACACATGACTGGTTGCCTTCTTGGCGGCATCATGTAGTACAGTGAGGTGAATTTCCTTGCAGGTATGACAAGGCTTTTTCAATGTGCAGTCCTCTGGCTTATGGGTTCGCCCACATTTCCAACAACGTCCCTTGTCTTTGATCCATTGGATGATCTGGTCGGTGCTCATCTTCTTGATCTCTGGGCAGCCACCGAGGAAGTGCTCCTTGTTGTCGCAGTAGGGACAGTATGGTTTAGGCTTGAACTTGGGTTTGTCCTTTGTGTTCGGTGAGGCCATGAACACAGTTGTGGAAACCTCCTTCTTCGGGGCTCGGTGCTGGCTTTGTTAGTGGGTTGGTTTAGAGCCTGCTGAGTTGTGACTGGATACAGCTCTACTAGCGAAGCTCTGGGACTGTGACTTTGTGCGAAGCCACTCTGCAAACTGGGGCAAGGTGTATGTCTTGCTGCTGTTTGGTTCCAGTATGCCCTTCTTCAGGCAATGCTCCATGAAACTGTTTCGGTGAGAGGGGGCCAGTTTTCCCAGCAGACGATCGACATGTGATCCACATCGAAGTTCAACTCCCTCCGCGCCTTCCAAGGCTTGGAGCATTCCAACGAGTGACAGAACATCAAGAGAAAAGTCATCAAGTGCATCTGTATCTCCATACTTGATTGGAGGAGTGGACATGATGGCTCCAATTTCACTCTGCACGAGTTGTCTGGGTTGTCCATACTTGCCAGTGAGGGCTTGGAGGGCCTAGGTGTACGGTTGACTGGCGTACAGGAATGACTTGGCAAGCTTTAATGCTCGGCCACCAAGTCTGTCGATCAGTATTTGGAACTTATACTGTTCGGAAAGATGGGGATGCACATCAATGAGGTTCACCAAAGCCAGCTTGAGGAGGGCGAATTCTTTCTCCTTCCCATCAGAAAACTTTGGCAGGGTAGGTTTAGGGATTCCATGTGATGATGCAACAAGGAGATCCATAACGGTTGGTGCTGATGACACCGTTAAGGAGGGTACAGAAGCCATTGGGTATGGCAAGTGCGGAGGACAAGTCCCTGGAGTAGGAATGCCTTGTCTTGGAGTGACATCACTGGTTACCACTGATGCGGGTAAGGTCGCACTCACTGGGGCACCATGACAAACAGAGGTCGAAACACAGGGTAGTGTTTGCTGAATGTCCGGCGGTGAGGTCGAGGATGGGGCACCAGATGGAGTCGAATGACAGACAGAGGAGGAAACACATGGGGGTGCTTGCTGAATGTCTGGGTGAGATGTCACAAGTGGAGCACTTGGATTACCATGACAAACAGAGGATGAAACACTTGTGGATGTTTGCTGCATGTCTGGTTGTGGAGTTGAGGATGCACTTTGTGGGGGTGACTGATCGTCTGTACCCATTAAAGGATGTGATGGTGATGATGATGATGATGTTTCGTTATTCAACATGGCACTGATGGCTTCAGCCTCCAAGAGTTCTTGACGAGCAATCCGCACTCTGCATTGACGGGATAATTTGGAGGTGAGGGCCTCACGCTCTCGCAACGCCTGTCGCTCCACTTCTTCAGCTTTAAGTCGGGCAGAGCAGGCCTTCTCGTCAAGTTTACGAAGTTGCTCATCAGCGGTCTGATCTTCCTGGAGTTGGCACTCCAGCTCGTTAAGACGAATTCTTCTTCTGAGTGTTCGCATCTTAGCTGCATCCTTATCACTAAGACCGGATAGGTGTGAGTTATGGGAACTTGATGAGCTATTAGTGCGTTGGCTGCCGGAGTGCTTTGAAGCAACAGACTCATCACGGTTCTCCTCGGCCAGAACATCATCGGCATGGTGTTCAGACATTGTGGTAAAATCCGCAGGTCGCTGGTATAGAGGATCCGGCTCGAAGGACCATGAAAGAAAGGGCAGGACAGGAGACTGGTGACGAGTCTATGATTGGTTGATTTGCTCTCCTTTAATTACTGATTGTTCTCACATTACAATGATGAAGATAGTAGGTGAGCTGATTAGGTTAATTTACTGATGAAGACTTTAAGCCGTGGTATGGGAGCCGTGAACTGCAATGTAGGTTGTGTAAGCCGTGTGGTAGGCCGTGGTTCTACAAGAAAACCAAATTAATACAATAATAAATATTGGAACCTACATTTATGAGGTGACATGAAAACATATGAAAATGGACTAAGATTCGTGTAATAATTTCCCCAGTATCAACTAAATTATCTAACAAACTGAGGGATTAGATAAGCTATTATAAGCCCCAAATTACACCAAATTAACCAGCAATAATGATTAAAAATGAGGGCATAATCCTTAGTAAATAGATCAATAAAATGTACGTACATGTACCCATAAAACAACATGTGAGGAAACCCACGTTATTTATCCATTACAAAACCCCCCACAAAATATCCCTTAAAATCATTTATAAATCTACTCACTTTTAGCTTCTACGCATGGCCGCTGATGGACGGCATACAGATGATTAGGAAAATTTAGGTTAACCTGGGATTTTACGTTTGATTGAAGGAATAATTGCGAGGTTTATCGGAATGATTTCAGGACAAATGTGACTAAAATTGGAATCACGTTGGAATTTTCTAGATCCATAATCACGAGAGGGCGCTATACCAATTTAACGCTTAGACACTTTTGTACAGTTAGTCTTATTGCAAAGTGCACGTCTTTAAACATTTAAACGTTTCCATGCTTTTTTGGACCACTGAGTGCGCTGTTGCTATGATGTGATTTCAGGAAGACAATGTTCAGTCTAGGGGGGGTCTCCTTCAAATTATTCACGCAAAATTTGCGTAAAATTTTTTTTTCGGGAAAGGATTGCTCTTTGGCTTGCTGCCATGTACTGATGCATCAAAGAATCACCAAAGAAAAGAACTTTATGGCAGCAAAATATCCAAAATTCTAACATTGTTTTTGTGCTGAAACTGCCATGTAAAATTAATCTGTTCGGAATGACAACAACATTTTGCTAATGCTTGAATATAGAACTTTGCATTAGCATAAAAACGGAAAAGGCACCAAAAACACCCTTCAAAGGGAAACAAATAAAACTTGAAAAAAAGGTTAAAATGTGACACAAAGATGTGATTTTAAGGTTTTGCATTGGACGATTACTTTGCATGGGCCCTTAAAATAAGTGTTCGGTCAGATATACGCAAGAAAACTTTGAAGAAATTACCAAATAGAAGTGTTCGCGATGGTACAACCATTGCCAAACATACATGACCAGATGTCTTGCACGTCAAGAAATCGTCAACGTAAACAGTGATAAAGAAATTATCTTAGCCCTTTTTATTTCAGTACATCTTCTATCCTTCAAATCAGTTAATTTATTACATTGTAAATCTACAGTCACCAAGATGTTTTGGGAAAAATTGATTTGAATAGCCACACGATGAAAGTGATTGCCCAAAAGCGAACTAGAAACGAAAACCATGGTAATGCGTTGTAAGCGCACCGACGTTCGCTAATTTGAATGCGTCAACCGTCAAGTGGTTGGAAAGACTTAATTTAAGAATACTACAAATTAAATCTTGCATGCAACAAAACAAAATAAAATGCCCCAAAACAAAAACGAACATACAGTGCAAAATCCTGGCAGCCTAAAAAGGAAATCGAATGCCCCCAACTTGAAACTGATAAGAAAAAAATCGGAGATTGGCCGGGAAAACCTATATTATACCTACCTTGGGAAAAAATTGTGCCAACATTTCTTAACCGAATGAAACTTCCAACAGACGTTTATATTGACGAGAAAAAAAATCCAGACGTGAAACCATCTCGAACACACCCTTTTAGGGGCGTGGCTACCATATTGGAAAAGGGGGTTGGAGTTTCCATTATGCCCATGACAAATTTTCCTAGGTGCACCATGGTAACATTGTTCCACATTCATAAAGAAATGAAACTTCCCACAGACATTAACATACATGAGGAAAAAAATCCAGATGATGAGCTATCGCAATCACACTCTTTTAGGGGCGTGGCAGCCATATTAAAAAACATGTGCCCACATCTCATAAACGAATGAAACTTCCCACAGGCGTTAATTATTCACGAGAAAAAAATCAGACGTGAAGCCATCGCAAACACACCCTTTCCCATAAGGAATAAATCAAATCAAACCAATTTAAAAAAACTTAGAAATACCTAACAACAGACTAATACAATCTCCTCTGAATAAATCACGTGATTTAATATGTCTATTCAAGTCGTCAATTCAACTGCTCATGTCAACTCCTCAAATCAAATCCCCAAATCAAATTCTTTTAATCAAATCTCAAATGCACTTACCAAAGTGAGATGGGCCCACCAAAATCATTCGCGAACCATGCATGCCAGTATTGGATCCTCCGGTCCTTTCCCAGTTGTCCCTTGGACGTGGATACCAAACCCTCCAGAGACTGGGCAGCCCTCTGTCTCGGTTTCTTCCAGCTGCAGGCGCCGTCCGTGCTTCGGCTCTCCGTTGTGCTTGGATTTAGGGTTCTTGGGTAGGCTAAATTAATATGAGTCCATTAATCGATGCCATATAGCAGGCGCCTTGCTCTGGCGTACTTAACCATTTGAAGTGTGCAAATTCAAAGACTAAACTTTCGAATCTTTACAATAATAATAGATAGGACAGCATAATAATATTTGGTCAACCGAATCATAAACAAATGTCATCTGTACAGAACTGACAGTCTGTGACGTCATAGTTCGGGGACCAGTGGACTTGCTCCACGCACGGGAATCAATGGAGCGGAGCCGGTAGAGTTGCTCCGCACGGAGCCGGCGAGGTTGCTTCGCACGTACGGGAGTCTATGGAGCGGAGCCGATGGAGTTGCTACGCACGGGAGTCAATGGAGCGGAGCCGGCGAGGTTGCTCCGCATTGGAGTCTATGGGGCGGAGCCGATGGAGTTGCTCCGCACGGGAGTTAATGGAGCGGAACCGTGGAGTTGCTCCGCACGGGAGTGAAAGAGGAGGAGCCGGCGCAGTTGCTCCGCACGGGACTCAATGGAGCGGAGCCGATGGAGTTGCTCTGCCCAGGAGTCAATTGAGAGGAGACCCCAGGGTGGGCCCAGAGGAGAACCCAGAGGTGATCCCAGAGGTGATCCCAGAGGTGATCCAAGCGGAGACCACAGAGGAGACCAGGAGACCCAAGCGGATACCCCAGCGGAGGCGCCGCCTTGTTCGGGGACGAACAAGGGTCCCCGGAGGGGGCTGTGTAACGGCGGTGCCGGGCCGCCGGCAGAGGACGCCAGCACGGACACACGGTGCAACGTTAGCGTTGGGACCCCTGCTGCTGGGCCATCAGACCCGTTGCCGGACTGCGCCGACTCAGTAGTGTGACTTTTGTATAGCGTTCCCTTTTTGTTGTTAGTTGTATAAAAGAGAGAGCCTCGTGTAAAGAAAGTGGCAAGAATAAATGGCCGGAGAGCCCCGAGGCCCTGGAGAATGGTGTCTGTGGTTTCCTTCGTCTGGCGTGTGAGAACCCCAGATTCGTTCTACGTTACAATAGCATTTATTTTATTGCACGGGGGTGCAATAAAATAAATGCTGATCAGTTCTCTGTATTTTTTAATACAGGGAACTGATCAGGCAATTTAGAGAGCAAATAACTCATATCTTTATATTGATAAAAAAAAGAACTTTAAAACAGAACTCTAGTGAAATCTGAAAACGGCTTCTATTTTGATTGAATGAATAAGTCCTATCCCTATATGTAGTTTCGGTCACATCGAGTACATATTCAGTCGAATATAATACCGTTGTGGGTGCTGCTATGTCCACCAAATTCGTACTTTCGTAACCAGCATGACATTTTGAGCCTTTTCCAAACTGTCATCGGTATAGTCAAAATGGCTGCTAGTCTGTGGTGTGTCCATTGTTGCATGGCAAGCTATTTAAATGTGTTGGTGCTTATAAATTACAGGGTTGTTTTGGCACACAAGCATGGAAAGTTTTATTTAATTCAACTCCTCCACCTAATATAACCAGGTGCGTACAGATGTTAACCCTATCAGGCGGGTACTTGGTTTTTTTTCTGAAAGGGAGGGGTACAGCACATTGTGATCCCCACGTTGATTTCTATATGCTTTGACCGATTTTCCTTCAACTGATTCGGCAGGAATATTGTTTGACCATTGTTACATAATATGACATACTTGATTCTAGTGCTGCTATCACTAGAGGTGATTTTTCTATATTTTTTGCAAACTCTTGTCAAAGTTTTGTTTTGTATAATTTCTGTTCTACATATTCCTCCCAGTTAGGTAATTGTAGGTATCCATTGTCACCGCCATAAAAACTATATACCTACCTATTGTATTCTTCAATAATTACAGCATTATGTACGGTGTACATGTGTGCATGTATCCATATTGTGTATATTGGTGTATATTGCATGCAATAGGGATGGTTGTTTTGATGTGTTTCTTATTTGCTGAAATTTTAATTCTGGTATGGAATGCATGCTGGAATAGTAGAATATTGTGGCTTGACCATACACATGAGCATGAGAAAAAAAGTGTTTGGGATACATCTCTTGTCTGCAATGGGGTAAGCATTTATGATGTGATCAAGTACAGTACAATTGAGCAAGTTTCATCTTCTCATAGGCACCTGCTGCACAATCATGAAGAATCTGTTTAACACCTGATACCAACTGTCGTTCCAGAGGACTAGTCACGCTGAACACAATTTATTTAGAGTGACACAAGTCCACCCAAATAAATTTTGGCTTCAGATGGGGTGCATGTTTCATGTACTAATTTCCCACTTTTTATGCTGGAGTTGTTTCAAACGATACAACAGTTGATGTTCTGATGTAGTTGCTCCTAATTAGTTTGAATGTGAAACTCTGGCTGCCAGTCATGCAATTGTGTGGTACTTGCTTTCTCAGCATTGACAGGGGACAATTATTACTTTCTTGACATTTTTGTGATGATTTCACATTTGTGTGTTTTTTTCCAGCTGATTGCATTGTGCTGAGTCCCCCTGAGCATGGCTATTACTTTAGACGTTATACAGCTAATGAAGAGGTTGAGCATGGAACAGTAATAGAGGTAAATGCTTCACATGTCATAATAGTTACGTTTTGTGTGTACTCATATTTGGCGTGAAATTAAGACAAAATTCTGCACTATGCAGTGTTGTAGTACTCGTACTCGGTACTCGTACTCGAGTACTACTCGAGTACTTTTTTTTGAAGTACTCGTACCCGTACTCGTACTCCAATGTCAAAGTACTCTTACTCGAAATGACGATACTCGTACTCGGGCAGCAAAGTGCTCGTATTCGACGTGTCGAAATTGTACTCGATCATCAAAGTTCTCGTACTGGCATAGCAGTACTGGAAAAAAAATATGGTAGTTAGACTCACCACTCACTCATTTTATTATCGACACTTTTAGTTGAAATGGTTGATTGGCTTGCAGAGAAATCAAAGTCCCCTGATTTTTCTCTGCGCACGTCCGGACAAACACATTGAACAGCTAGCCAGGAGTGGGGCTGTATATCAGTCTGACTGGGCCTGGGCCAATTACGCGCAATGAACCGTTTCCCGAATGGTTGATTCGGAAATAGAAGTACTCGTACTCGTACTCGGAATACAAGTACTCGTACTCGTACTTGGAAGTAAAGGTACTCGTACTCGGAGACCTGAACTTGTACTCAGAAGTACAAAGTACTCGTACTCGTATTCGGTAGCAAAGTACTCGGCAGTACTTGGTACTCGGAAAAAAAGTACTCGACTTCAACTCTGGCACTATGGCAAGTATTTGCAGTACATTGTCAAATATTTGGGAGTAATTTGAGAGTCTAATTCCCTCCTGCATTCTCATTCAACTAAAGTTTGAGCTGTAATTCAGTTTGCTATAGACCTATGTGAATGCATGTATTCCTGGTATGAATGCTTTTTACATGTACTTCTGCATTATTCAGTATACACAGATAATACAGGGTGAGGCAAAACGAAAGTTACCAAATCAGAAAAACATATTTTAAAATATGTGGTTAGCTCATTTTCATTAAACTAAATTAAACACAGTACATTTTATTGACTAGTAACTGTGAAAATGTCACGTTATTTGCAAAATCCATTTCCAAGTCACGTCTATTTTAAATGAAGATCATAACATTCAGCTATCCACCACTGATCATTTACTGTTTTACGAATGAATAAAATACAATGACACGTTGACTTTTTCCCACCTCAATAAATGGAAAACATGGCAAAATCGCCATTAATATTTCAGAAAAAAATAGATGACTTGTTTGTCGTATGCAAAACACACATTTTGACAGTAAAAATAATGTTGCAGTTGTGATTTTAATGATTAAAATCTCGTTTGTGCTTGAATGCTTGTGTGTCATCTGTAATTCTCACTCAGCTCAATAGCTTCCAATGGCAATTTATGGACAGATATAAGTATGGGTTCTTATAACTTCTGATGACATGGATCAATTTCATTAATTCATTTTTGGAAACGAGTGGAAAAACATGCTCCTTTAAGGTATACTTCATTTGCGTTTCAAATTGGATTGCTTTTTAAAAACACAATAATCATTAATTCGGGTTCTGTCTTTTTGACTCCCCTGTAGTAGACAAAGAAAATATCCACACATGTCAAGGATGGACTGAAAACTACACAAAACTATAAGAATGCAGTTTTGTCAATATATATGACTGTGACGTATCATATCGTAAAATATCCACCATGGAAATTTAAACTAATCAAGAATGTTTTAGGCGAAGTAAAAAAAACAAAACAATAAAACGTGTTTCACGTCCCCGCCCGCTTCCTTTTTGGAGGCCGCCTGGATTTTTTTACTATATATTTTTTTTATTTTTGAAAAATTTAGTAAAAAAACATCGAAAAAGTCCACAAATTCTTCGGAAAATTAATTGTAGACCAATACAAGTCTAAATGACACTTTAAATATGTTCAGTTCTCTTGTCCAACTTATCTTTTATTTTAAAAGTGTCTTTGAACAGTGGAAACACCAACGGTTGCAGGAAATTTTTGAAAAATAAAAAATAAAAAGCCTCGCTTCCTCCTTTTTTTCAAAAACCCGGACGAGAAACATGTTGGTTTTTTTTACTCGGCATTACAGGTTTCATTTTATTCTGTTTCAAAAGCGTTTATGAACTTATTCTTACATTACCATCGCAGATTGTATGCATTCCTCGGTACAGCTTGAACAGTGATGAGGAATACACATGTACCAATGGACAGTGGTCGTTTGATGCAAAGTGTGTAGCAAGTAAGTTTGAAACGGTTTGTCATACATATTTATGAATCATAGATGTAGTATCCTCACTGACAAGTTAGCACATTTCAGGCCAATATTCAGGCTATAGCCTGAATTCATGCTTTTTCATGTTTTGGAAAACCAACTAAGCCATTCCATCCCTTCACAGGCCGGGAAAAAAAATAAATCCTCGCGTAGCACGCATAGATACGGAGCTTTTAAAGGGACATAGGTGAAAAAAATTGAAAATCGTCGTAAGAATGAAAAAAATCTGCGTTCGAACGAAAAAAAATCTGCGTTCGAACGAAAAAAATCTGCGTTCGAACGAAAAAAAATCTGCGTTCGAAGGAAAAAAAAATCTGCGTTCGAACGAAAAAAATCTGCGTTCGAACGAAAAAAATCTTCGTTCGAACGAAAAAAAATCTGCGTTCGAACGAAAAAAATCTGCGTTCGAACGAAAAAAATCTGCGTTCGAACGAAAAAAATCTGCGTTCGAACGAAAAAAAATCTGCGTTCGAACGAAAAAAATCTGCGTTCGAACGAAAAAAATCTGCGTTCGAACGAAAAAAATCTGCGTTCGAACGAAAAAAATCTGCGTTCGAACGAAAAAGCTGTTTGCTGTTTGCTGTAAGCTGTTTGCCCTCCCTGTGCTGCCCCACCACTTATGTGGGTGATTTGGTCATGTTTTTTTCAGGTCCAACATGCATGACATATGTGCCCAATGTAGGTCCGTGGCCCAAGTACAGGAATTTCAATAACTGGTCTTAAAGCAGTCTATGAGCTTTCAAACGGTCTTACTAGGGCTTGCTGTTAGTTGGTCATGAAGTTTAACCATTGCAATGAAGATCTAGCTAATTTTCCTTCTTTTTTTAAGAGTCCCTATCCTGTTACAATACTAGCTACACCCCCCCCCCCACCCCATCAGTCCCACCCATTATGCTATGCTGAGGCAACACACTTATGAGACATTTTTAAAAGTAATTTGCCTTTTTGGTTTCTTTTTATAAAGTGAGGCAAGTTTTAAAAAAATAATTAAAAAAGGCTATATAATTATCTTTCAAATTTTTCAGGTAAAACAATATAACTGGTCGTCATTGTGATTTTCAGAAATTTGTCTATCCACAAATCGTTTACAGTATAAATTGTCATTTCTTATCCTTGTAATAGTTCCAAACTTTAGAAGCGACTGACATGTATATATTGTTTGATCATTTCTGGCTTTCAATAAGCCTATTTTACTAGTCCAACACTTGTACATGTACATGTACTTTCTGCTTCCTCACTTTCAGATACGGGATTCACCAATTAGCTGATTCCTACTCATACTCATAGCAATTGACAAACATGTCGGGCTATTCTAATAGCCATGGCTAGCCCGATATGTTTTTGGTGGCCCATGGATAACCAGTTAAATGTGGAGAAACTGTTGCACTTACAAGAGCATGATATGAGTCACATCATGATTGATACGTTTTACATGTTTGGTACAACAGTTTTCAGGGCAAAGAATGTTTTGACCCACAAAAATCACCCACATAAGTGGTCGGGCAGCACAGGGAGGGCAAACAGCTTACAGCAAACAGCAACCAGCTTTTTCGTTCGAACGCAGATTTTTTTCGTTCGAACGCAGATTTTTTTCGTTCGAACGCAGATTTTTTTCGTTCGAACGCAGATTTTTTTCGTTCGAACGCAGATTTTTTTCTTTCTAACGAAGATGTTTTCAATTTTTTTTCATCTATGTCCCTTTAAAAGATCCGTACATAGAAGAAGAAGAAAAAAGAAAATTGCATGCAGTGCTCCATAGCAATCCCCATTCTAGCTCGATACATGTGTGTATGAATTGTAAGCTCGAGGTAGACATACATGTTCACATCATGTGTAGTATTGCATTGTGGTGGTGTATCGCAGTTGCTTTGTGCATGTCGGCTATCTTCTACATGTCAATTTTTTTTCTGGCATCCCTGATAAAACTCAGGGAATATATTTTCATGGTGTGGCATCCAGATCCTGGAGTCCACATGAGTCCCCATCTCAAACTATTATAAGAGAAATAAGAGACACTTGCCATAGTGTCACACACACACACACACACACCCATGTATGTTCAACCCTTCGATATCGGACGTCCTATAGTCCCTCTTTTGTTTGTACTAACTTTTTAGGTAGACTCCCATAGCAGGGTTGTGAAATCTCAGCTTTATAGCTGATTTCGGCTTTTTTTTCCCTCACTTGCTGTGTACAAAAGTATTGGAGATTTCCAAAGTTCAGCTTTTTTACAACTTATTCAGCTGTTTTCAGCTATTTGTATCAGTGGTCAATCACACCCCTGCATAGGTTTTGTACACGACCCCTATCGCAGACGTATGCTGGGAATGGTGGACGATATTGTTCTCTTGTGTTGTCTTGCATTTTTCGTCCCCGGTTTGAATAGAACATGTGCTAGCACACTCAGCATTTGGGGTTTATGGGGTACCACTATTTTTCGACCCTAATTCCCTCCTTTTGTTCTCCTTTGTCCCCTAAGATATCTCAAAATACATAGCGTTACGGCTATGGGATACTACAATTTCTAAGGACAGACTTGTGGGGTACCATTGTCGCTATTGTTGTCCTTTGTTCCTGGTACCCCATAAGTGCCAATATGTAAGAGCACACACACACACACCCACACACACGCAGACTTACGTTACATACCTTGTGTGGACATTGCTTTGTTTTCGTGTAGTTAAGAAAACTCGGTACAAAAAATAACTTTACTTAAACTGTGAAAACTCTTTTAACCAATTTTTTTTCTATGATTCCCTATAGTGTTTCTCTTCATTCTGCTACGGATAAACCTAACCCCAAAATGCCTCTAAACCTGTTTTCCGGAAAGGGCAAAACCTTATGTGGACCCGGCTTAGTCCACATAAGGTTAACACAACATGCATTATGTGGACCTCTTTTGTTCACAAGTCCACATAGGGTATGTAACACAAACTCACACACACACACCCACACACACCCACCCACCCACCGACTTACGTTACATACCTCGTGTGGACATTGCTTTGTTTTCGTGTAGTTAAGAAAACTCGGTACAAAAAATAACTTTACTTAAACTGTGAAAACTCTTTTAACCCAATTTTTTTCTATGATTCCCTATAGTGTTTCTCTTCATTCTGCTACGGATAAACCTTACCCAAAAATACCTCAATGTGGACACGGCTTAGTCCACATAAAGTTAACACAACCTGCATTATGTGGATCTCTTTTGTTCACAAGTCCACATAGGGTATGTAACACAAACTCACACACCCATTCTCAAATTTGTATCCTTGTGGAGACATTCCTTTGTTCTCGTGTAGTAAAGTGTTCAATTTTGAAAGTGAAGTTTCAAAATGCTCTTATTTTAACCAGAATTAGTTTCCTTGGCTGAAATTTGGACTTAATATCCCTTTTCTAAAACTCTTTCATTTGCGACAGATCAACCCACCTTGGAAATTCCTAGTTTTTGAGTAAAACCCATATATCTATTTCGTGAAAACCTTGTGGAGACCTAGTCATCTATAGAAATTGCCCTGTGGAGACCTTTACAATGTTTTGTTCCCTATTGTGTGTGTGTCTCCACAAGGATACGAATTTGTAGTCACACCCACCCACACACACACACATAAATGGACTGTTCTGGACTATATTAGCCTCTCCCACTTTGCAAGTTTTTCAGACATGTGGATGGGCAGTCCGAATTGTGATTGGTCAAAACATCATGGGACAGGGCTTGACCCTAACTCCCTAGCATGATTTACTAGGAACCATACCCATCCTGGCAAATTCCAACACTATATGGGAAACTGCACACACATATGTCTGACTTTGATTCTGGAGGTGTGTCAACCCAATTTAAAAGACTGTCACTTTAGGGGTACTGTTCCTTACAGATTCCAACACAACATGCCGTTGGGGTTTGATGGGTGGAGTTCTGTTAGGGTTAATCAACCCTAGATCTAAACTTTGTTAGCAAACTAATTACAAAACTTTAGGAAACTTCATTTTTTAAAACTGTTTTAGCTTCAGATTCAGATCTGGACTTGACTATATGTCGTATGCTTGTGGCATATTAACATAACTGTTTTTCCAACTTATTTATTTACACAGCTCCCTGTTCCAAGCTACCAGAACTACTGAATGGACTGATTGTATATAACCCAGAGTTGGTGAACCAAGCCCTGCCTACCGTCCCTCATGACACACGGGCTACATACACATGTCTGTATGGCTTTGAATTGCAGGGAAGGCACAATGCACCGCAGTGTTACTATGGCACTTGGTATTATAAAACATCAGAGCCAGTCTGTACACCAAGTAAGTCTTCCCAGGGATATGCTACTTAATAATGCTAACATTGACAATGTTTGCCCAAACAGGGCTTACTCTGTGGCACAAAATGGTGACGGACAGTAGCAATAAAGGCTAATGGTCTTCCTGATGAGTTGCTTCAAAGTGTTTTCCAAAATGGCCCACTCACACATTTAGCTTTCCAGGTTGAAAAATTCCTTTTTTTTCAAAGTCAACATTCTCCAATAACTTCATAAATCACTGGTGAAATTTCACTTCCAGTTCCTTAATGGGAGAAACTGCTTTCCACATAGTGAAACTTGCAGAACTTTGCACCGTTATTTTGACTGCACTTGGAGTAGGCACATTTGAAGGCCTAGGTAAAAATATGCTGCAGTGGAACGCACCCCTCGCCCTAATTTGTTTATGGCACTGCTCATTGATTGGCGGAAACAGTGTGTTAACTATTGCATGTATTGACTCCATTCACAAATAAGTAAGCCCTCAGCTGTGGACAGTAAGGTCTTAAGGCACCGGCATTGCATGACATTATTGGTCCATCTTGTGTGAAAGCAAGGACGGTGAAATTAGACAAAAATAAATTAGTTTCTCACAAGGAGAATGTTACTTTTTTAAACTAAGATACAAAACATGTAGGTATACAGTATAAGTACAAGTGGTCACTAATGTCTCGTATACCAGACTGTGGTTTTACCCTCTGTACAATGTACACATCTCTTTGCATCATCCATTTGCAACACCTACATTTACACACTGATGGCCGTAGCAAATTCATCTAGCACAGTTTTGAAAATAATCGTGAAACAAAATCTGTTATTATTTGATCTGAAGCGGTGGACAACGGTCATATGCCATTTCCAAAAGGTGTGATTGTTTTTTTTTTATTACTTCAAAGGAGGATTGGAAAATCTTTGTCCATTACAATGGTAACCCTTTCAACAAACAAAAAAGAGTAAAAAGTCCTTATTTCTCCAAATTTCTTCAGAGTTGTGCAGTCAAGACAACTTGGAGCACGGCAGCGTACGTTACACTAAGAACAATGAGGAATTCAGTGTCCGGAACCAAGACCCCCATCATGGTGTTTTCAGGACTTTTAAATGCACCAGCGAATACAGTCTGGTCTGGGCCCAGACAGAAGCATCAGCATGTGTAGATGGGGTGTGGAATACGACTCTTCCAGCATGTGGGCCAGGTAAAACAATTATATGCTTTTGTTTTTCGACCAGTGTTGAATGCTTTGAATCGGTACATCTTTTTACTTCAAAAAAATTCTCGACTTCCTAAACTTTGGGCACCCAACGGTTAGGTCTTAAACATGTCAAGAAAGTCGGTGCAATTGGCCATGTCAAATTATAAGACAAAAAAAATTACTTCAATATAAGAACTTTGGTTAATATGTGCCAAAAAAAACCAGGTAAATATCTGAAACACTTTATTTTATGTATGCTAGTCCGGACACTTTAAAGGGAAAATACAACATTTGCAAACATCAAAAAATAAAACTACCAAATCATTTTGAAATACCTTGCTGGACTGTTAGTGAATGTCAGTGTAAAGCATCCTGTAAAATCATGGCACCTGGTATACTCTCATTTTCAAGAAAAACAGCTCTGTTTCTTCTTATATGGAGTCAGGGAACCAGACTACAGGAAAATGATTGCTTTCTTGGTTTTTATACCATTTTCGAACCCAAAACCTCAAAAAAGTCAGTGTAACTATATTTGCTATATATTTCCAACCCCCCAATTTCATCCATTTCTTAAAATTACAGCAAAAGCAAATGATGTATATTCCCTTTAAGACTTCCTATGCTTGTTTGCTAGGAATCTTTATGAATTCGACACACTGCTACTGTAAACTAACCATTGACACCTTCCTACATGTACTCTTAACTGTCAAGCCTATAGACCTCATCCGAATTACTTGGCTATGACTGGAAATTACACATCGGCCTTTGAAAGCAGCTGCAGTCACTTCCCATAGACCCCATGTGTTATATCCAGCTGTAGCCAGGTAATTCAGACAAGGCCCTAGACTGGAGTACGTTGCTCAATCCTCCAACAATCCTCCAGGCTGATAATCAAGGATAGAGGGTATTTTATGAAAGAAATTTAAAGCTAGAGTCCATCATTTGCAGCCATCCGAAAAGTAACTGGCGTAATTATTGTTGAAAAACAAACTTGGTTGAAAGATAGTAAAGGAACTAAGCTCCCTGTGAAATTATTCTTTCTGGGAAGCTGTCATTTTGAAGTAATCAACGAAAGAAGGCATTTCCAACGGTGATTCTTAAGAAGCACCGTAGGAAAATTTAAATTAGTAGTTCGTTTTGTTATTCAGCGCAGCGCGCACAAGTATTGGAACGACGCACACGCGCGCGCAAATGTTATAATTCGTCGGATCAGTGCGCGACGTCGCGTATAGCTGCAATTCAAAACAATTCAAAACATGATTCAGTAACTTTTTATTTGAAATTGAGATCTTAGAATGCTGTTTTTCTCGGAATGTACAGCTGAAGCTTAGTTGAAACTTCATCAGGTTAGTTGCTCAGTATCCTTCATTAGATTTTGAACTCTTTTGTTGCTTCAAACGAACAAAATGCACAAATTACAAATGATGGACTGTAGCTTTAATGTTAATAGTAAATATGCACATTAAAAAAAAATATGCCTGAATTGTTTACCTTTACGGAGATATTTATGAAATGAAAAATTGCCTTGCTGAAGTATATGTGATGCGATCAAGCTAAATGAGTCGTTTGTCGGGAATTTTCATTTGGAGATTCAGGCCAAATTAGGGCCACTTCATCACATCACTTCATCACATCTCTTGGTGTTCTGACTTCCATAATTTTTGAACTAAAGATGGTATCAGCATGCGGTTTTCACAGCAGTAATGCTGAGATTGTGCTCTTTTCAAATCTGTAAAAAAAAATTACCAGGGTCGACAAACAACTCATTTAGCTTGATCGCATAACATAACGTAGGAACTCAAAAGTGCTTATTTTTGTGTCTTTTCCTAAAGATTCTTGCTCCAGACCAGCTGTTGCCGGTAGTAACGTGGAGGTGCAAAGCTTGGGGCATGGCGGTACGGCCCATGTTACATGTGACCAGGGCCTGAAACCAAGTGTTGGAAATGGTGGTCTACGTTGCCATGCTGGACATTGGGTACCAGACGGCATAATGTGCATAAGAAGTGGTAAATTGCTTCATTTCCTTGCACCAGAGGGTGTTTTGTCTAGCGCTGTATTTTTAGCGTACACACATTTTTAATTTACTTCACACAAAACCCGATGTTGTAGTGAATTTTACTCAGTTGTTAAAACATAGTAGACCAGTGTTTCGACAAGTTACTGCCATAACAGCACAGGCAAATTTCCTACTACAGTTAATTTTTTATCATGTAGGAACATGCTGTGTTGCGAGTCTTGTTGACTGGGTGCAAAGTGGGCTGGATTATGGTCAAATCTTGAGTGGTCCATACAAACATACACAATACCCACTGATGAACTCAAATGTTTTGCTTTCCTTTAATATTGGTTTTGCCCTATCTTTGTGAATTCTCAGTGCAAACAATTGTCAGGGTGTCAGAAGTTTGCATTGATGTTTGTGTATGTTCTGAGTATGCATAGGCCTTTAGACTATTGCGTCATCGAAGGGGTGCAACAACATCATAGCAAAAGTGCTCCGAGTTGTCACGAAATAGCAGAAGAAATAGCAGAAATAGTGCTTAAAACGGGTGTCTTGTTATTTTCCATTCATTTCATAGGTGTAGGAATGGACATTTGCCTGTTTTCGTGTAACATAAAGGGATGTAGTCCAGTCCATCAAAAGTAATTCACGAGTCAATTCACAATTAAGTCCAGTCACAAGAAGCACTGGATGATCAATAACAAAGGACTGCCTTTGTCAAAGCTCATTTGAATGGCGCGTGAGTGGAGTTGGGACTGGAGGACTTGTGATGGACTTGCAGGGACTTACGTATGGAGAACTCGACTACATCCCTGGTAATAACATCAGTGGTAACTACGGGGTGGGGGGGGGGGCACGTGCGCCTCACCCCAGCGGTGCCCCACCCCCATTTACAATCTTGAATTGCACAAAAACAGTATATCATTTGCCTTCAGTGCCCCCTAGAAGTTCATTCCTAGTTACGCCACTGACTAACATACATTTCATGGACTCGTGTGCTCTTTCTGTGTCACTGCAAAAGATGCGTCATCCAATGTGGCATATGGAAGACCAGCATCACAAAGCCCAAGATCTGATGAATCTAACAGACAGCAAGCAAGCTTAGCAGTGGATGGAGATAGGACCACAGACAGTGAACATGGCAGCTGCACTTCTGCACGTAAGCTAAAGCTTATTATAACCTATGCAACAGAAAGCAACAATGGTAAAAAAAAAAAAAAGTTCTCTTAAATATCGTGATTTCATCTGTGTTTTGTTTTGGTTGTTTTTTTTTGGGGGGGGCGCTAATTTTTGCAGGAAAATCTGGAAGGCAAGTTTTCTGGGAGGTAGATTTGCAGGCTACATACAGGATAGAATACGTGGACATCTATTCCAACCGTAGTAAGTATGGAAAAGTAACTTTCAGGACCTACATGCAAAGGCATTGTCCTTCTAGAAACTTTGAATTACTGTTAAAAATTCTTTAGTCGGTAGTCTTTTGATGGACTGTAGATAAAAGCCAGACGTTCCATCCATGATGTCCAATACCACCAAACAGTGCATACCCGCCTACCAACATGTGCAGCAAGTGCACAATTGTTTGTAATGCTCAATCTACATAGCTGTTCAACTTATTTATTATACAACTTGTACAAAGACGATCTTTGTTTTTAAAATGGCTGTTAGTGGTTACATTGTATGACCACAAACTAGTCATACTACAAGCTCCATCCACCACTTTTTTTTTGCAAGGGAGTAGACGACAAGTTTGCAATTTTTCACAAGAACTAATCTGTCAATTGTACCCACCTTCATAAGTGAGATCATCTGAGATCATCTGATTTTTGATTTGTAAGCTGTAAAGTTATGCCATCTACAATAATGGACTTATGTCATTGTTCAAAGTTTTCATTTAAAAAAAATTAAATCCACTGCTTGGCTACCAGCTGAAGGAAGATCACTACTAATTGAATTGAATGACCTCAGAGCAATTTTTAACGCATGACTAATTCTAAGAATATTTCAAGGTTCTTGACTTCTGATTAGATGGTTATACAAAATTTAATTTGTTATTTATGTGCTGCTTCAACAGGTACATGTAAGGCACCTTACCTGTACCGACCTGTTGTTACCCATGGACAATGCCATTAGCATTATGCCATCCAGGGGAATAAACACTTTTTGAATGATATATTGCTAAAAATCCCAAGATATAAAACACCTGAATGATGAGTCATACCAGCTTGATCATATTTCATTTGTTATTTTACTTGTTCTTAACCATGCTCTAAATGTGGATATCATACTTGTGTTTTTATTCTCTAGAACCCAAACTGATAGGTGCAACAGTCCAAGTCGGATACCCTGATGCCACAAGAGAGTCGTATAGTCAATGTGGTCTCACAATAAGTTCCCAGATGGCAAGAGGTCGTCAGCCCAGAGTGCGAGTGGATTGCAACCGCGAGCTGATTGCTGGGCAAATCATCAGGATCGAGCTGCAGGAATCTGACAAATTTAGTCTGTGTGAAGTAGAGGTGTTTGCTACTGGTCCCATTGCAAGTAAGTCAAGCTTTCTTGAGCTGTCTGCCACCCAAATTCTCGCTCTTGTTGTCCAATTCTGGTTGGTTAGTCTGGATATTGTCAGGAGTTCTTGCCATTGGGTCGGTTGTACCACAAACCAACAAAGCCCATTAAATGTCAGTCACAGCGCGCGGTGAGGTATCTCTGTTCAGTTTATGCGTGGGATACAAAAGTTGGTCACAATAATGTCGTATTCAAGATAATGTACCTGGGGAACATGATTGAGTCTTCAGTAGCAATTGAACTGCTGAAAATATGTAATGGAAGTTTTCACGCAGGGTTTCAGGGTGCCTGACCTACCCCGTATGAGAGAATGTACAGTTTGGGTGATCACTCTGATTTTTTAGGCAGTTTGAGCAAATGAACTTGGTCAATGCAGTGGAGTGTCGCTATACCGAACACCGCTATATCGAACATTCAGCTATACTGAACATCGTCCTTGGCTCCCAATTTTTGTGTACAAAATGTACATTGTTGTTGAAAAATGTCAACAGAAAGCGACAAGTGGCTATTATTTCCCCAAGGAATAGAAGGGGAAGGCCACCTATTCCCTCTTTTCACACTCCGCCATTGGGCATGCACAGCCTCGATCTGGCAACTTTATACACAATAAAAATAGCCGGTTCAGTGATTCTGAACCCCGACACAGAAATCACTGAACCAGCTATATTATGTGTAAAGTTGCCAGATCGAGGCTCAGCATACCCATGGCGGAAGTGTGAAAAGAGCAAATTGCCACCGGAGCACTAGCAGAAAAAAATTGCTATACCAAACAATCGTTATTACAAAGAGTTTCTGTGGATCATGCGATGTTCATTGTAGCGGCATTTCACTGTATTAAAACAAAGTTAATGAGTTTTAAAATAAGGACCCGTGGAGTTTTTGTAAATACATGCTGGCTTTACCAGGTATGTCATCTTGAAGGTCCGAACAACTAATGAAATTAACAGTGGATAAGAAGGTTTTTGAGCCAGAAGCTGCCCCTTGTGTCAATGTTGCAAAGTGCTGCCCCAGATCTGATTTTGCCCTTCCAAAAAATGGTTCACAGTGCGATAGATGAAACGCTGAATTCATGCAGGCCTGATTCACGTGACCATTTTTCTACCAATGTAAGTTTTCATTTTTTACATCATGTCCACTGCCATTTCAACTTAATTTGTCCAGCATGTAGGATCCCTTACATCGCCGGTATGAGACAAGCACTAGAAGGTGATGGTGGGGTGTTGCTTACCAATGCTCAAGTTCCTCCAGGAACAGGCATTGCCTATAACTGTGAGACAGGCTACCAGCACCGCGGAGCTGTGGATAACCTGTGCAGAGGGGACGGTACATGGTCTAGACATTTTCCCACTTGCTATGCAGGTAATGCAGTACATGTATCATAGAGCCACATTATCTGAATATAACTTTGTTTCGGATTGGATTGTCAGTATAATTAAGCTCTCTGAGGTAGTGGAGGTTGAAAAAGCCTAGGGACATTATTTGCAAATTTCAAATACCTAGGGGAGCTAATATTTACGTTTCATAAAACCTTGGTTCAATATATACCTCATACATTTTCAGTTGCCATTATTTTGCAATTTCAGTAAAAGAAACACAATGTAACCACTGCGAAATGTGTGTGCGGTTGTCCGTGCAGGAGAATGCTCCAGTGATGAACACCATTTGTCAAAGTTTTACAATTGCTCAACAATGCGTATATGCAGTCGACTATTGCATCCATGAGCAACCTGTTCAATAGTGAACTGTGCATGCCTTTTTTTGCACCTGCTTGGATCCTGTGTTCTTATGATCTTTGACACAGGTCAAGATGTTAATATCTACAAACACACAACTTATACACTGCATTTTGTGTGAACATGGACTTGTGAACTATAGCTATAGGTCAGCATTCAGTGAATTCCACAGGCTTTGCCTGTCCTCATATACATGAATAATATGAGGTTCGTTCAGTCTGAAAATGTCGTTGTTTGGTAACTTTTTTTCATGTTTACTCCCCTGGATTTTAAGCCAAGAAATTTTGTGAAATGAAAAAGTGATAGAAACTCTTGGGATAGTGTATTCTTTCTGTGTGTCCGTGTGTTCCATTTTGGTTAGGTTAACTGTTTAGTGCTGTCATATGATAAGTCAGACTTCGATCTTGACCAAACTTGGTGACAATAATCTTTGGGTAGGGGGACTTAAGTTGAATTGAGACATTTGAGGTCAAAGGTCTTCTAGGGGTCAAATGAGGTCATAGTTGATTTTGGTTAGGTACACTGCCTAGTGTGCTTGCTAACTGAATGTATAAATACTGCCAGCGTGCCAGGGGGATCGTGCAAGTTTAACTTGCAGTATTGTTATGCCCCGCGGCGAAGCCGAAGGGGCCTACTGTTTCCGCCTTGTCCTTCCGTGGGTCTGTGTGTGGGTGTGTGGGTGTGTGTGTGTGGGTGAGCTTGTCTTACATACGCAGTGTGGACTTCCGAACAAAAGACGTCCACATAATGTAGGTAGCACCGACGTTGTGTGGACTTACCCCACGTCCACACAGTGTTTCCCCATTTCTGGAAAACAGGTTTAGAGGCATTTTTGGGTTAGGTTTATCTGTAGCAGAATGAAGAGAAACACTGAAGGGAATCATAGAAAAAAATTGGGTTGAAAGAGTTTTCACAGTTTGAGAAAAATGAGTTTTTTCACTGGTTTTTCTTAACTACACGAAAGCAATGGAAAGTCCACACTAGTCATGTGAAACAAGTGTGTGTGTGTGGGTGGGTGGGTGGGTGGGTGTGTGGGTGGGTGTGTGGGTGGGTGTGAGCCCAGGCCCACCAAAGTGTGTCCATCGTAAGTATATATTTTATATAATTATCTAGTTCAGTTTGAATGGGTGCTATTATACAGAAACATTTATACAAAAATGTTTGATGATACATTTACAATAATATCTAAAATATAAAAAATAATAGTAAACACATGATAAGAAGTACAAGTAAACTAAAATGAATTATTTAAAAATGCAATTAAACGGTATAGATAAAAGGACATGCAGTAATCAAACAAGATCAATAGTTGGACAGTTTATGGGAATGCAGATATTGCCTACCTTAAGTCCAGTGCTTCAAGGAAAAAGATTTAAGTTTAACATCATGAACATTCTACAGATCGGTAAAGATTTGAGGGTTTGCATGATGGAGATACTAATGAATAAAAGGTTTGTGGAAACACCATGTGGGAGTAATTTCTCAACTAAGAGAATGGTTCTGAAAAGAACCAGAGGTACAATGTATACACTCAAACGTTCCGGTTAGTATGATCTGACCGTCTTCAGGAGAGTGTCAGAAGACGATCAGAGCATACCGGAACGTTGCATTTATACCTCTGGTTCTTTTCAGAACCATTCTCTTAGTTGAGAAATTGTTATGCCCGCATGGTGTTTCCGCATTCTACAGATCAGCATAAGAAACAAAATGTTTGGTAACAGAAAGGGGCATGAAATTGAACCTCAAATTAATCCAAATTCCTCAACACTTATTAGGGCCATTCTCCGCTAAAGTGTTCGAATGTGCCATTTTTGTGTCACTTGTGTTTCTAAGAAGTAACGAGTGTGTTCGATCATGATTTATATTACTTTTCTTTGTGGCTGAGTTTTGTTTCATAAACCCATGTAGTAAGAAGGTAAAAAAAGATCAAGAAAAATCTTAGAAATTGAGACGGTAAGTGGGTATTGTTGCGGTTTTCTCATGTTGCCAGCCAATGTGCGTTTCGTGAAAAGTCTCCCATTGGTCTTTCATGTGTGTATATCAATGATTACCGTATTATATTACTAGTCCATAGTATGCCCTAAAAATACAATGACAAATCGAAAAAGACTGGCTCATTAATTTTACTTGAGCGCCTTCAGAGCGCATGTCGCCAATTTCATAACCAGATACGTTACTATTTTTTGAAACGATAAACAGACTTAACATTCAAGGGATGCTCGTTGAAATTGCTCACAGACTATAGACCAAACTGGGGATTATATTGTACATATGGCATAAATCTAAAAAGTTTTGAATTTGAAAAATATAGAAGTGTCAACGAAAAAAAAATCCATGTGTTATGTGTGCGCCAGATACGTTACCTATATTTGCCTTTCCTTTCGAGACACGTGACGGAAACTGACCTCAAACACCATACCAGTCAATAGTGTGTTGGGTGATGACTGATCAAGTGGCGGAAAAAGTAGTTAAGGTCACACATTTTGTCAAGGGAAGCCTATTTCAACATAAGCGGGCCAGATACGTTACACCAGATACGTTACACCAGATACGTTACACCAGATACGTTACTGATTATGAATTCATCATGCTGAGGTCAACAAACATGGGCTACGTCATCAATTCCGGCACTTTCTACATGTGTAAAAGTTTCTTAACACATTGTGACTCAGAGAGCGACTGCTTGTCGAGAAGGATTTTAATTTTGTGCTGAAGTTCTGTTGAATATTCTTAAAGTTGATGCTTTTTTTTTACAGTAAAATATGTAACTTGTAGAATTTGTAGATAAAGATTTTAGGAAGTGAGTAGTTGTGATTTCACGAAAACTTGATAACATGAAACCATCGTTGTTGGTTTACATGGAATACCTCAGTTTATTATGGTAATGTATCTAATCAGCTTGGTAACCTATCTGATCATCTCGGTAACGTATCTGTTCAAATATCAATCTATCTTTAATTTACGAGAGTAGCTAAGATGATACAATTAAATGTGTTGTTCAGACGTTATCTCTAACCAACAGGGACACTTTAAATGATGGTTTCGAGGGTTCGGGCGGTCGGGTAGGTGGGTTGGCTGGGGTGAATTAGGGGATGGGAGGTGGGGCAGCTCAACACACATGGAAAAAGGAAATTCTGACCTCCATCCTGTGTGTCTGAATTCAATTTTATATCGTTTGGTCATAGTTGATCAGGATTGGTTGCCAGGGGGTGAACTGTTTTGCATTTTAGCCTCATTAACCGTGATAAAAATTAACAATTCTTTTTGTTGTCAAACTTCATTTACCTGCGTGATAGGCATGCACAAAACATATAACACAAAAAAACAACACTTGATTATTTCCTATAATCTATAATCTATATTCCCCTGCAAAATGAAATAAAACAATAACAAATAATAATAACAATAAATATAGAACAAGATGATATTCAAAACGCAGGCGCGGATCCGAACCCCCAGTCTCGAAACCCCCCCCCCCCCCTTTGCTCTGACCCCCAAAAACCCGCAACAGTGGGATATTTAAAAAAAAAAAATGACGGGCCGACCCCCCTGCAAAAATTCCTGGATCCGCCCTGCATTATGGTCCTTGAATTATATTTTTAAGAAATTCCTTGGTTTTTTTTAATGATCATTATAAAATGATGTTTTTGTTGACAAACAGAATCAATGAAACCTCTTATTTCAGTCTGTCTGTCACAATGTGTACATGTACATGTACATGTACTAATGAAATTCACATCTACTCACGTATCCACATGATCTTATTTAAAGCCAGAGTCCATCATTTGCAGCTATCCAAAAAGTAACTGGCGTAATTATTGTTGAAAAACATACTTGGTTGAAAGATAGTAAGGGTACTAAACTACCTGTGAAATTATTCTTTCTGGCAAGCTGTCATTTTGAAGAAATCAAAGCAAGAAGGCCTTTCCAACGGTGTGTCTTAAGAAGCACCGTTGGAAATTTCTGTTAGTAGTTCCTTTTTTTATTCGGCGAAGCGCGCTCAAGCGTTGACACGATGCACACGCGCGCGCGGTTGCTATAATTCGTCGGATCAGTGCGCGACATCGCATAGCTGCAATCGGCTCAGTGAGAACGTGTCTCGGACGCTGAATTCAGGCCCAATTGAAAACATGACTCAGCAACTTGTGATTTCAAATCGAGATCCTAGAATGCTGTTTTTCTCGGAATATACAGCTGAAGCTGAGCTGAAACTTCATCAGGTTAGTTGTTCAGCACCCTTCTTTAGATCTTGAACACTTTTCTTGTTTCAAACGAACAAAATGCACAAATTACAAATGATGGACTATACCTTTAAAGACATGAATTTATTGATGTGGACTTGCGGTAACATATCTGTTAGATCATTACAGGACGTTTTAGAGGACTTAACTTCAAGTAGTTATTTTCCAAAAAAAAGAAGGTAAAAATCGCCTTTGTATTATTCCATGTATTCATAAAATGCACATTATAACATAGAGTGATAAAATAGGGATAATTTCTGCTGTGTGAAACAATGCAAACACGACTTTTATTGATTGTTTTTAAATTGTCAACTTTCACGGTTGAAAGAATTCAATAAACACATATGTATCAAATATTAAACTGCCATTACTTGTATTCACTTACTTATAGTAAGTATCATGAAACATTTAACAATTGTTGACTGCTGTGATGTGGGATATGCTGTTTTTAACACCGGAGGGGCGCATAGCACCTTAGGCAAAGCCCGGGGGCCTATGCGCCCCGAGGGGGTTAACAGCAGTCAACAATTGTTTTGTTATTGTGCCAATAAGTCAGAAACGATAAATGGTTGTAACAAACTATGCAAGTAATCATTAAATCAGTGCGGTTTAACCCTTGATAACTGCAAGCTTTCCTGCTGGACATTGGTTGCGCATTGCATTTCGAGAGCGTATGCGGGTTCTACACGTGTGTGCGCAACGCGCATTGTATAAGAGGTTAACCATTGTATAGCATTTTTCAGACTTGATATGTGGCCGTCATCGACCAATGAAATTCAACAGTATGCAAACAAACGATGTAACAAAAATTGTATTGTGACCATATTGTGATATATGTATTGTATTTTATCCTGTTACAGCCAACAGTCAACAGGACACATAACAACAGTCAACAGGACACATAACAAGCATCAAAGCTGACAGATGTGATCCAAACAGCATCATTGACCCAATAACCTTTTCCTAATTGTAGTATTTTTGATGTTTTGTGAATATTTTGCTATAGAACGCTGTCGTTTGCGGGCGAGTGATTTCAGTCATGTCATGATCAACATCCAGGAGCTTGAACCAGATGCACAGGGATTTGTATACATTCCTCATGACACAGATGTCATCTTCAGCTGCACAAGAGGATATGAACTAAGGAATAACAATAGATACACTCCTCGGTGTTGGATGGGAGAGCTTCTGTATTACACTGATCTTCCATCCTGTCACGCAGGTAAATTCAGTTTGACAACAAAAAGAATTGTGAATTTTTATCATTTTTTGGGGGGGATGCGTACGTTTTTGATTAATCAAATGGCCGAGTTATAAATTTTGCCCTGACAGCTAAGTTGCCTTGATAATGACATGTACAAGGTATATTCCATTAAAGAAAAGTAGTCACCACTTTCTTCATTTGCATATCAGTGTGGGCTAGTGCACAAGTGTAAAAGTTACCCAAACCACACCCTCCTAGTCCCATGCATGTCCCACAAAACACACTGAAACACAAAGGTTCTTTCTAGGTTTTTCAGCAAGCCGAGTGTTACAAAGACCACAAAGAATTCTATGGGCTTCAGCCGTGCTTGTAAATGCCCTCTGTGCAACCTGAGCAGCACTCTATTAGTCAAGACAATTCCACCGTAGCGAAGGGCTCTAACTTCCCTAGTTCCAAGGCTGGAAATCCTCAGAGTACAAGCCATTCAGCAGGATGTGTTAGCACAGCTCAACAGCAAATCCAACACACCTGTAGTAATCTTGAGAGCATGACATGTATACACAGGTTACAATAGAGTTGGAGAGGTTTCGCATGTGCATAGGCACCTCAATTGAAGGATGAATATTATTTTTGTTGTGTTAACAAAATTCCGTTATAATTTGACTTGATGACGTTGAGAAATAAACATTGCTACCGTGTTACCTATCGCAGCCCTATCTGGCCTGGCAACTATATGGGCGATCGTGTAGTGATTGGCCCGGTTCCTAACTTAAGGGAACAAAATCTTCTTTAAAATTATTAGACAGACCAAACTAATTGGTTCTCATTAAAAAGATATGGCATAGATAGAGGGCAGGGTTTTGAATTTCTGTGAGGGAAATTTGGGGGTTAAATGACGATGACAGTGTGGCGACACAACACGCAACCCAAAAATATAAAAGATGGCGAACCCCCCGCGATGTACCGTGAGCTCGCACGGCGCGCTGAATCGCAAGGTACAAACCGCGCAGGAAAATCGTGATTTCTACCTCAAGAAACTATTCAAAATTGCAAAACTGTGTCAGTAGAATTGAGAAAAGTCTGCTTTTGATTATAATATAAAGGTGATTTTTTAAGCAATACAAAACATTTTGACTCTAATTTGATCAAAACAAAACAGGGGCCCTACACTACACAATCGCTATAAAATTTTCCCACACGTGCTGACGGTTTTCCCGACGAGTTCCGTCCCGTCTGAGCATGCCCTGATGAGCACTAAAAACTTGCTTCGATTGCTGATTAGTTTTGTTTTTAAGAACAAACAGGTCTTGTCACTGTGCCAAAATTATGAAATCATAATTTTTTTTCAACAGCAAGCTGACAAGAAGCTACCATAAAAAATAATAACTTCATGATTCGCTACTTTATGACTGTGGAGAAGTGTGGACGGATCCATTTGTAAAGGGGGTTTCACCCTCTTTTGGGCGATTACATCGTTTTTCGTATTCATTCGTTACGAAAAAAAATATATATTGCGAAAATCACAAACTTATTCTGAACATGGGAAAGGTTTCAGACTCCATAAAAATATTTCTTTTTTAATTCTGATACGTTGAAAAAGCTTAAAATGCTGGTGAATTTTGCCGAGGAAAGCGCACCCCTTACCGCAATTGGTTTGGTCCAAAACGTACTACGTCACGCTGGGACACGGTGCAGCATGTAGGGCCGGATACTGACCACACTGGATGAAAGCAAAAAGCACGCTTTTCACTGACAAAATCGCAAGGCGCATACCATTTTTTCAAAGCGTATTGGCCCGATATCCTATTGTATGCCCGGCTAGAACACTGCAAATAATGAAGATGAACGCGGTGACTTGTCAACACGTTAAATTCAATCATCCATGCGTTTTATTTTTGCCCTTTCATTGCAAGCATTAGCATTCCTAACATTTGGATTCGGTTCGGAAGGCCCAGCTCGGCTAATTTTAGTTCGATTCAGCGGTTCGGCTGCAGCACTAGTCAAAAGTATCATAGAGTGTGGAACTTACTCTGTGTCTTGCCACTTTGGAGCTTTTCAGTTTGTGCATTCCACATCAGATCTCTCTTCAGGCGACGCATCTGAACAGGAAGACGAATACATTTGTTGATGCTCTTTCTAGGGGGTGGAAGTATTCTGACAGAGTAGCCTCTCTACATGTATTAACCAACAGTCAAACATGTCTTCAACAACCTTGGAAGCCCACATGCCGACCTATTTGCCTCCGATCTAAACAATCAGCTTTCAAAGCTCTCTTCATGCCAAGCTTCTCCCATTGCCACTAATCTCCCTACCACAACAGGTTCCTACAAAGTCATCCAAGATCCTCCTGATCACCCCTTTCTGGCTGTGACAGCCATGGCTCCCTCGTCTCCTGGGTCTCCTTATCCATTCCTCAATCATGCTCCTGCTCACACTGTCACAACCCAGATCTCACATTCTGTTGTCATATTTGTGCCTGGATGATGTCAAAGTCTTCTTCCGAGCAGCTGGCCTTTCAGGTGAAGCTACAGCCGTGGCATCATCACCTCTTTACTTGACAAAGTGATGCAGAAAGTGATGCAGAAAAAAAGTGTTCATTCTCATTTAAATCTCTACTATCTGAAGCTATCAGCCACTGGTGTCCTCCATATAGGTTTTAATGATGGTTCAATTATCTCTACAAACTCACCCATGCCACACATAATAAGGGGTTTGTTTGTTAACGGTCCAACAAGGAAACTGATCTCAGCTTGGGATCAGGTGCTAATGTTCTCCTCATGAATCAGATCTCCTTATGAACCGGCAAGTTCTGCTCCCAGGATAAGTACATTGTAAAAATGGTATATCTCGGGGCTGCAAAAACAGCTCGCCATAGAAGTAAGCTCAACTCTCTTTCAGTAGAACCAGGTCACATACGCTGGGATTTGGTCGGGGTCCATCTGATTCCATGGTCAAGTTCTTCACCAAGAATCAGTCACTTGAATTTTGTCAACAAGACATCTGTTTTTATAGTTTGGCCATGTATCCTACAGAGAAGGATGAACGACTCTGCCAAACTCTTAGATGCGTGACAACGGCCAGTACAGGTTGGAATACCATGAATACTTGTGTCAACAAAGACCCAGACAGCTTAACTGCTTCACTGCACGAGATGCCTATCAAATTTGCAGGGCTCTGCGCTTGATCTGGTGTCGAAGTTTGTTAAGCCAGCTAATTTGATTTTTAATATTCATGATTCTACATTTTTGGCCTTTATTAATGAATTCTAATAAGTGATAATGTTAACGTAGAGCGCCATATCTTTAGCTTTAAAATGAACTATGAAAGGTCGCATTTGTTTTTCGGTTCAGGACCACATCTTCTGAAAACTTTTTGATAAAAGCCTAATTAAAAACGAGATTGGGGTAAACGACGTTCTCTTTGTGAATCTTTATATAAAAAATAAATGAGGAATAAAAATATTAATAAAAACATGAATAACCATAGAAAAAAATCAAAAACTGAATTCCTAGCAATGCTTATTTTTGTACAAACAAAAATCTAAAAAAAAAAATCATCCAACTGGAAAAAAAAGCATTTTGTATCAAAGACAGATGAAATATTAAAAAAAAACCTTATTGAAAAACGTGTACCATTTGACATTTTCCTCCTGGGGTAAATAGTCATCTACATATATGACGACTAAAACTCCACAATACCATCTGTTATATCATGGTTTTGTAGCAGAAAAAATGATGAAACAAATAATCCTATCTTGAAACTCACGTATGTTCACCTTCTTACAGCCTTTAAGAATTAGTGTGCTGTACCCAACTCACAATTGTGACTTTTCTATCGATCTTTCTATTGCAACGAGCTCGAGGACCGTCGCGATATCTGACGGGTTTTAACGAGATTTCATGTAGAGCGCCAGTTGGTGGCGATTAACATGCCAACGGGTGTTAAGGCCCGTTATCAAGCATCCAACCAATTTAAGTAAATCCGTTCAGTGCATTTTGTACTAGAACTCAAAACAATCATTCATTTTTCTCTGTAGGATTCGTGGTTTGACAGACTCCTCATCAGTGGTGGAGGATAAATGGTAGTGCCCTAAATAATCTTTCAAATATCTCGCATTTGTACCAAGCCCTTTAGAGTTTTTCGTCACAACTGTCCACCTTGCCATCAGGCCTCAGTGACCACATTTACATGATGGATTTTGTAGGCCAGTTTAAATCCAACTAACCATCGAGGATCAACATCTCAACCGAGATTACTATTGAAAATCCTACCAATCAAGGATTTTCATAGGCCCATGAAACACTCGGTGTGTCAACAGCTTTTGGCTCATCAACTTGAGTGCCTCTCTCCGAAATCATGAAAGCGGCCTGCAGGAAGAATCCATCCACCTTCATCAGGCCACGCTACTTGAAGGACATTGTGCAGGCAGAGGCCCATATGGCCAGCAAGGTCCAACTGACAACTGCATGTTCAGCAGCCCTCTAAGCCCACAAAGCTCCTTTTTCACAGTAGATAGGCAGCTTCATGTTCTTGACGTTTTCTTGTAGGCTTAATAGTTGAGACATTTCTTGAATGAAATCGCTGCACGTACCTTCACTCTAATTTTTGGGCTTTTCGGTGCTACTCTGCAACTAAAAATGAGTTGATTCATTTTTTGTATAGTGGAATCCCCAAAATCCAAAGGGATCGTTGTGCACTAGTGTTATTCCCACATTGACATTTTTACAGATTTCTCAAAAAGTACATGTATAGTTATTCATAGGTTAGATTGTTTAATTTAGCTGCTTCGAATTGATTGTATTGTTCCTAATCATAAAATATACATTTTTCAAAAGTGCAAATTACACTGTTCAATTGTTACATCTTTTTCATTTTTTTTCCATAGCTATCTAACCTAAAATTGTTGTAATTCTTTGTATTGAACAGTTCGGTGCCGTGTTCCTTACCTTATGCATGGTAGCTTCCGCCTTATCCAGGGCGATCGTTATGAGCATGGGTCCACCATAAGGTACGAGTGTAACCCAGGTTATATATTACAAGATCCAGCCGCTGAATATTCCCATTGTGATGATGATGGAAGATGGAGCCTGGAACCCGTATGCCACCCAGACGATCAAGGTAAGGCAGTTCAAATGCTGGGCTGTAATGCCCTGGCATAATGGTTCCATCAACAACAAACCAAATCAAAAGGAAAGCCTGCATTGCATTCTTCTGGTTAACAGTACATAGTTTGTTACTGTACCTCATGATTGAAAGCCGAATTCTCACTGGACCTTTCACCAACACATGCAGCGGCGGCGGAACAGTTTTCAAACTGGAGAGGGGGGGGGGCATCACCAAAGAGGGGCACTTGCTCTGTAAAAGGCATCTTCCGTCAGTAAAGCAGCGTATCCAGCATTTTTTTGAGGGGGTAGAGCACAGCCGTGCTAAAATGCTGACACGTTTGGGTGGGGGGGGGGGGCTAGTACCATCTTCCAAAATAGGGGACGCTCTTAAAAACCGGCCATTAGGCAAACTACGCATTATGTGGCCATTTATAGGGCGCATTGTAAGGGTTTTGGGGCTTGTTTTTTATATTCCTCGTTCGTATCAGACCTCTCTATACCATTGTGGATGACGGTTACTGAAAACAAAGCCGACATTTTAGGGCTAGTTTTGTTTTCATCGTGAGGGGGCACATTTATGCTTGAGGGGCAAATTTATATCTGCAAGAGGGGCACTTGGGTAAATCTGGGGGGGGGGGGGGGCAAGTGACCCCTCACCCTAGCTAGCTACACATGAAAAGACAGTTACACACGTCGATGTTAATTACATCATGTAGTCTTTTCCCGAGCTCAATGATGCCAAAGTGGAAAATATTTTGGACAATAAAGATGCCTCCTGTACTAAAAAAAAAGTTGTCCTCAAACAACTGTACAACCCTAGTTATTGCATTGCAAACAAACTGAACTTTTCTGAGGTTGAGCAGTAATATTCTTCTGGTGAGCTTGACGAGTTTCACCGGAGAGGTTTTGCCCGCGAGGTGCATACTGCAACAGGAAGATTCGGCAACTTAATATGTATGAGGTATAGTCAAACAACTATAACATGGTTCATTTCAGATGGACAGTCGATATTAGCTCCCCTTGGTATTAAGTTTGACAATTTCCGATGCTTCGGGGAGCGAATATCGACTGCACACCATCAAACCATGTTATATTTGTGTAATGTTTTACAATAATCCAGTGGAAATACCTATTGTCTAAATGTATGTTACCTAGAGATGGGCTAGAAAGAATAGAAAAAAATGGGAAAAGGCACAGTAGGAGAAAGTATCTGTTCATCAAACTTCGTTAAGATAGTTAAAGATAATAGTAGAAGGGAAGCAAGATTCAGGAAGCTAATTCAAAAGCTGGCAGGAAACTCCCAAAATTGAGAGAGATTCTGAGGTAAATCCATGGAATCAGGATAGAATTGATTAACATGTTGATTTCCTTTTTTCTGATTTATGTTTTCAGTAACCGAACTACCTGTGGCAGCTGCCACATGTCCCACACCGTCAGTCCCCAGTGCCCTCATCTACCACCGTGGCCAAAACATTGCCACAGCAGACTTAGAAATCATCTTTGGTAATGGTGATGAGATTGAGGTTCGATGTAATACAGACTTCACCGTCAGCGGCAGGGAGACAGTGACCGCTACTTGTAGGAATGGAGCCTGGAAGCCTGTACTACCACGTTGCGGTAAGATAGAATGCCTGCACTTTGTCATGTATGTACTCTTTCAGCCCTTCAGGATTATTTTGTACAAGAGAATTTGCTTTTACAGTTAAAAGTTTTGATTAATTGAACCGCCAATTTATTTATTGCATTAAAAGTTTAATATTAATTATACTGACGACAGAGTTGCCACTGGGGTAAATATTTTTCATACTAGCCTTTCCAGAATACTGGTATGGACATTAATTATTTCAGCCTAGCACACCAGTCTACTTGAAAGAGTCTTGTGCATGGAATGTACCATGGTTTGTTTGATTGAAATTTTTTTTTCGCCTTCTCAAGGGCAATTCCGTAAAATCTAACATACGTTCGACCACATGACGGACTTGTGCAAGGTCTATAGGGCGGTGGTACCTTACTTTGGTCTGTAATTGGTTTCTGCTCATAAGTCACATTAAAGTTATGTATCACATTCACCTTTCCAACAGCAGCTCATTAAAGTGTGTAACATCTACGTCCCAATTTACGGAACTTCCCGAAAAGGAAACAATTTATGTTCACCATGGATCAAGTTCAGTTATTCTCTTTTAAAAGTGAAACCAAGTTTCTGACTACAATTATCAAGTACATTGAGTAAAAACATATTTCTGGCTGTGTGTAGGAAATGTATAATGGCCTGTGTGACCTTTTGCACTACTGCACACTTACAAGAGACTCTAAGCCCTCCATTACCCCCCACCAGAAAAAAAAAAGAATGGGAACTGCAAGTTTTGGTAAATATAATGATTTAACACTGAATCTCTAATGTCTGTTTTTTTTTTTTTTTTTACAGATGTTACATACAAGCGCTCTTGTTCTCGTCCTGTGGCAGTCCCAGATGTCAGACAGTATGTTGACGATTCAATCAAGCTACTTGACACCCCTCGCACTTCGTTCTTCCATGAATCCACCATAATGTCACGGTGTAAGGATCCATTAACGATGACTCTGGTAACTGGTCCGCTCCGCACCTGTAATGACGGCAGATGGACTGGACCGGTGCCAGTATGCGGTATGTTTTACTTTAATTGATATTTGATTGAACAAAATATTGTCTTGAGCGAGATTTGAACCGGTGACCTCCGGCTTGTACTTCAGGTGCTATATCAGCTGAGCCATTTAACCCGATATGCAGTACCTTAATTTGTCCAAAATGTGTATGTTCATGGAACCCATATGTGCCAAATTACATTGATAGCCCTAATAATAATAATAAAAATAATAATCGGCATTTAAGAACGCTCTCATTAGTAAACTAAATCACAGCGCTTTAATACAAATAATGAACAATTAATGTAAACATGCGATATGGCAGGCAGTGAACACTCTTCTGAGAGTACACTGCCTTGATTACAAAGGTTCACTTTTAATGAAATATAGTGTATGAAATTTAACAGTGCAATTCAGTTGACAGGTCAGAACTTGAACCTGCGACTTTCAGAATACTCTACCGACTGTGCAGGAATACATTGGTTTCCCAATTTATCAATGCTCATAGGGCAGTACTTGGAGACCATGAAATCAAACATATCCTTGCAGTTTTGTGCAACAAGGTCTAGATAGAGATGTTGCTTGGAGTAACATTCTCTTTTCCTATTCATGGCAGAGCGGGCATCAACTAGCTTCAGCCTCCCAGCCTTAGATACCACGCTCCATCAGTTCATGGCTAATGGAACCTTGCTCATCTACCCTGGTGTTGGTCAGTTGAATGTGGATTGCATTGTCTCCAGCGGTTACCCAGTTTTAGACCACAGTCACTCACAACAATGGATTCCAGGTGGTCAAGGAAAAAAGAAGTATGGTGTGCCTGTAGAAGGTCACTCAGGGACTTATACCTGTAAGAAGGTTGGGTGGCCAACTGTATTTCATCGGCTTATGATACAGGTAAGAGGTAAGTAAAGTTTTCAGTTGATCTTAGTGAAACGTGCAGTGTTAGTATTCAAATATATTAAAATAAGTTTTCACAAATCATAACACTGCGGTGGGGCACTGTTGGAGATACAAATGTACATCTTAGGCAAAATTGTGTGCTTATACATCCCTTAACATTACATCAAAACAGTTATATCTGTTTGATACAATGACACTGCTTGTGAGATAAATGGGTTGCTTTTGTCACTACAGAAAGGGGGGGGGTGTGATCCGGTATGGGGGAAAATGTCACCCCTGGGATTTACGCCGTTTAGTTTCACTTTATAAAGTAAAATAATTAATAAAACAACTGAAATATGAACAAGGCTAAATATCATCTACATGTATCTCTTACCATGCAGGTCTTTAATTGTCCGCTGTGTTTATTCTTTATTCTCCAACAACAACTTTCACTAAAACGTCGGTAAAGGGCAAAACCTAATTTAACAACTTTCATGTAGCTGTTTCCTGTTCAGAGCCAAGGCCCCCGTTAAACGGCCGTCGTATCGATGATGACTTCCGCCTCACAAAGTCAGTGTCATTTGAATGCATTGAGGGCTATGATCTTATCGGGGAACGGACGATCAAATGCAACCTTGGTAAATGGTTGGGAGAAATACCGCACTGCAGAGGTGAGTGAAGGAAGCTTCCAGTTCTAGAATCTGAGTGTATTATTTGCAATAGGAAACAATAGCCTATAAAGCTATTGCCAGATTCATGTACATGCATCTCGTACCTGATGACTTTGTTTTTTGGAAAGTTGGAAAGAGAGGACGATTTGGATTCACAGCTTTTGAATTGTATAGGTTGTCATACATGAAATGTGGATAGTGTTGTGCCTCTCGCATTATGAGAAAGACAGTTCACCTGTTTTCACCGGTTTCTGTGTTTGTATGGCCATTGAACAGTTTCCAGTAGAATGTGCACATATATTTAGAGATTTAGAGGTTTCCTTGATGAAAAACCTTGCATGACGTAACGTGGTGTGGCATATGACATGGTGTATGATTATCATCATCATGATATAGTGTTGTGTTGCGTTACATTGTTTTGTATGTGTTATGCTGTGTTGCGTTGGTTGGCTTTATAATTGGAATCTTTTTCAAAAGTTTATAAGGAATAATTGCTTATTGTTTCCTGTGTTCCGCAACCAGCTCGGGACTGTCCTGATATCAACATGGCACACCGAGACCCCAACCTACGTCTCACGATAAATGGAGGCAACTCACCAGGCTCAGTAGTGATATTTACTTGCCAATCCGGATTCCATCGGGTAGGAGAAACACGCCTCACTTGCCAGGGTGGCAGCTGGTCTCCTTCCTTCCCTACTTGTGAAGGTGAGACTCTTGTTTATTTGGAAGTCAGTCAAACAAATTATTCTGTTTGAAGTATAATCGTGATTAGTGGTTACTCATTAACTACCATGTACATGTATGCGGCTCGGTTACTCAGTAACTACCATGTACATGTATGTGGTTCGGTTACTCAGTAACTACCATGTACATGTATGTGGTTCGGTTACTCGGTAACTACCATGTACATGAATGTGGTTCGGTTACTCAGTAACTACCATGTACATGTATGTGGTTCGGTTACTCAGTAACTAACATGTACATGTATGTGGTTCGGTTACTCAGTAACTACCATGTACATGTATGTGGTTTGGTTACTCAGTAACTACCATGTACTTGTATGTGGTTCGGTTACTCAGTAACTACCATGTACATGTATGTGGTTCGGTTACTCGGTAACTACCATGTACATGAATGTGGTTCGGTTACTCAGTAACTACCATGTACATGTATGTGGTTCGGTTACTCAGTAACTAACATGTACATGTATGTGGTTCGGTTACTCAGTAACTACCATGTACATGTATGTGGTTTGGTTACTCAGTAACTACCATGTACTTGTATGTGGTTCGGTTACTCAGTAACTACCATGTACATGAATGTGGTTCGGTTACTCAGTAACTACCATGTACATGAATGTGGTTCGGTTACTCAGTAACTACCATGTACATGTATGTGGTTCGGTTACTCAGTAACTACCATATACATGTATGTGGTTCGGTTACTCAGTAACTACCATGTACTTGTATGTGGTTCGGTTACTCAGTAACTACCTTGTACATGAATGTGGTTCGGTTACTCAGTAACTAACATGTACATGTATGTGGTTCGGTTACTCAGTAACTACCATGTACATATATGTGGTTCGGTTACTCAGTAACTACCATGTACATGAATGCGGTTCGGTTACTCAGTAACTACCATGTACATGTATGTGGTTCGGTTACTCAGTAACTACCATGTACATGTATGCGGTTCGGTTACTCAGTAACTACCATGTACATGTATGTGGTTCGGTTACTCAGTAACTACCATGTACATGTATGTGGTTCGGTTACTCAGTAACTACCATGTACATGTATGTGGTTCGGTTACTCAGTAACTACCATGTACATGTATGTGGTTCGGTTAATCAGTAACTACCATGTACATGTATGTGGTTCGGTTACTCAGTAACTACCATGTACATGTATGTGGTTCGGTTACTCAGTAACTAACATGTACATGTATGTGGTTCGGTTACTCAGTAACTACCATGTACATGTATGTGGTTCGGTTACTCAGTAACTACCATGTACATTTATGTGGTTCGGTTACTCAGTAACTACCATGTACATGTATGTGGTTCGGTTACTCAGTAACTACCATGTACATTTATGTGGTTCGGTTACTCAGTAACTACCATGTACATGTATGTGGTTCGGTTACTCGGTAACTAACATGTACATGTATTTGGTTCGGTTACCAGAGCAGACAGTTGTATAATGATATAAGGATTCCATTCATAGTAACAAATACATGTAGGCCTAGAATAATACGTTATGACGGTAAGCACAAACAAATATACAATAAATCATCCTTATTGCTTTGAACCACAGAAGGGGTATGGATTCACCATCGGTATTTTCACAAAGTTTCTTATAGGCATACAGGTATAAATTTATTTTTTGAAGAATTTGGAAATACATTTTCCCCCACTGAAAAAGACTACCCTCATAGTCTTATTAAAAGGCTTTTTGAAAACTTTGCAATTGAATGTATGAAAAAAAGATGGCAGTACAAAGAGAATTTACTCAAATATTTGACACTCTTAAGAGTTCAATACAAGAATTCTAACTCTTGTACTTCTTTTTATTTTTTTTGGACAGCCGATGTTCCTGATGACACAGGCCCGCTATTGGGGCCGGATGACTGCAACTGTGAGGTTTGGGAGAGATGTGTGGCCAACAGCAACGGCCCATCAACATGCCACTGCATCCACCCGCGGCAGTGTGATGACGTAGGCCAGGAGCAATACTGTGGGAGTGACGGTCGAACCTACCCCAGCATCTGCAGAATGAAGGCTGCAGGCTGTCTGCTGGACTTGGACATACAGGTCGTCAGCAATGGACCTTGCCCAGAAAGTAAGGCAGTAAAGCTTCATATCTCTCTGATCCTGTAATGGAATGAACACAAATTGAAGTGATTTCCTGCCCAGAAATAGCACATATATGGCAATACTCTAAAGCTGTGCATCTCCATCAGCAAGATTTTTTCCTGAATCCGGACAGGCTTTGCCCCCCCCCCCAAAAAAAAAAAAAATAGGCAAAATGGAAGTGGTACATGCTGTTGTAAGTTTTTTTTATCAGTTAATTGGGTATCTGCCCCAGCTGTACATCACTGCAAATATCCCCTTGGTGCTGGTGTCACCATTCAAATGCACATTCAAGTATTAAAATTGTATCCATACTTTGCAGCAGAATCCATTATTCCAATTCCAGATGATTGTAACTGTGAGGTTTGGGAGACATGTAAGGCCAACAGCAACGGCCCATCAACATGCCACTGCATCCACCCGCAGCAGTGTGATGACGTAGGCCAGGAGCAATACTGTGGGAGTGACGGTCGAACGTACCCCAGCATCTGCAGAATGAAGGCTGCAGGCTGTCTGCTGGACTTGGACATACAGGTCGTCAGCAATGGACCTTGCCCAGAAAGTAAGGCAGTAATGTTTCATATCTCTCTGATCTTGTGATTGTTTAGGAGGAAATGAATTGGGCTCACCAAATGTCTCTTTATAGAATGTCCATTTTCTCCCTAGGATGCATTTTTTGCTAGGAATCTTCATATCCTCCAAAACTCACTACTTTGCAGTGAGCCAATTACACATTCTTGGTACATTTCATCTGACACCAAAGCACATGTAATTGTGACTGCTGGTTTGTACCAAATGTTTGTACCTATTGCTCCTGAGCAGCCTTGCATTGTACACAGTCTGGTCTTAGACTATTCTGAGGATCAGGCGTTCATGTGTGCAGAGCCACACTTTGAACGTCTGATCTATGCGTGCATGTAAACTTTATGTGAACCCACGTGCCAGCCAAACGGAACCGCCTTTGGAACTTGGGACATCATTTAGAGCAGAAATTTGGCCAAAGCTGTTGCTGAGTGGTCGATAGCTGCTAAGTTTTTGTCACACAACATCAGGTTACAGGAAACACGATAGAAGACGTGCACTGAATGGTCAGAATCTGGAGGTCAAGACATAGTGCTGTTTTGCATAATTTGCATGCATGTGATTCCGTAACAAATTCCGTAGGTGTAGACCTGATCAGATCAAAATTTCTTGTAATGACATGTTACCGGGCAAGTGGCCTATGTACTGAGGATAAGTGAGATAGCTACCTGAGATACTAAGTTACTCTCAGTGTGCATTTAATACCCATTTCACTAGCACCATGCATAAAAGACCATGTGCCTGCTCCACACAGACAAACACATCAAATTAGTTCCTTAAATCGTGCGACATACTACATGTATATGTCTATTCCCCTAAGTTCATTTAAGTCTCCAGACTTCCACATTTTATCTTGGTTGAGGTACATGAATTAAGACAAATTTAGACACGTATGCCAATGTGTTGGAGAATTTGAGGATCTATCCAAAACAAGATGATAATTCAGTGTGTGTACTCTGACAAACCTGGATTTGTTTGTTGGAGGATGTGTATGTGTTCATCTTTTCAAACCGTGGACGAAAAATACCAGAGAACAAAAGAGAACAATATCGTGCACGATTCCCAGCATACTCTGCGGTTGGGGTCGTGTACAAAACCTAAGGGAGTCTTCCTAAAATGTTGAGTATAAACAAAAGAGGGACAATAGGACGTCCACAATCGACAGTAAACACACGTTCGTGTGGGTATGTAATGCAGCCCAGCTTTACGTGTGGTATCTAAATCAAGTACAGTAAACTCCGGCCAAGTTGACATCGTACAACTCGTAAAATCGCTCAAGTCGCCTGTTTGACTAAAGTCCCGATTGTCTGTAATGCATTTCCATTAAAAAAATTATTTTTTAAGTCGGCTTTTATAAGTAGCCATTTCGCTCAAGTCGTCGTGTTACTCTCTGTCCCCTTTCCAAAAATAGCGCAACAAAATCCCTTGTGTAGGTCGGCAGTAAAAAAAAATCACGCATTGGCATCGACTACCTGCACTGCTGTTCAAGGGCGGATCCAGGGGGGGGCCAAAGGGGGCCATGGCCCCCCCAAAAACGAAATCAATTTTTTTTTTTTTTAATGTGACATCGCAATAACGGCAGGCAATGAGTACACCACCATCTTTTCCTCAAAAAAAACCATTGGTTAAAGTGGTCAGAAATTGCCTCACATCGCACCACAGAGCATCTAGAATCCAAAAAAAATTTCGGGGCCCTTAAGCGGGCCCCGAACCCCACGCCGTAATTTTTTTGACCCACTTTTTGACATCGCAATAAAGGCAGGCAATGAGTACACCACCATCTTTTCCTCAAAAAAAACATTGGTTAAAGTGGTCAGAAATCGCCTCAGATCACACCACAGAGCATCTAGAATCCAAAAATTTTTCGGGGCCCTTAAGCGGACCCCGAACCCCACGCCGTAATTTTTTTGACCCACTTTTTTGGGGGAACCAAAATTTTTTTGGCCCCCCCAAAAATTGTGTTCTGGATCCGCCCTTGCTGCTGTTGGCAAGATGACAAGTGATAAGTCACACACTGCTTTAACTTAACTGACGTATCGGCCGCACGAGTGATCGCTGAATCGGCGCGGTATCGGTTACAGCCAAGTGATAGACATGCATACTGCATTGTGAGCATATCGATACCAGTACCCCCTCTATAGTCCTGTACATGTTGTACGCATCCGCTCTGTCAATTTTGGGGGTCCCCTTATTGAATTAACCGCACTGTGAGCACATCAATACCAGTACCCCCTCTAGGCTCTAGTCCCGCACGCATGCGCTATGTACATTTTGGGGTAAATGAACTTTACCACGCATGGCCGTACGTATGTACGTACACGTGTGCAAGCGATCTGCGGGCATGACTTTCTGTGATCAATACCCCAGCCTGTATGTGATGATAAACATTGAGGATACATTTGCTGGAATCGACCATTGATGTAGAAATAAACCAGGGTAAATCGAAGCCTGTGATCCCATAGTGATCCAGATACAGATATGCACAGGAAATTAAATCGATTTTTAACTCCATACATGATTCAATTTTATGTATAACTATAAGTCGGCAAAATGACGACTTAAAGCAGAAGTGGGTATTCACTTTATATGTCGTCACAAATTCTCGGGTCCCGGGAGTGCCGACTTAGCCAGAGTTTACAGTATTGCAATCCAGGATACTGTATGGGCAAATCAAAGTGTGCTTTGTCATCCATGAACTAAGTACCAGTTATCATGTCCGCATTATATAAAAACATAGATGTACGTGTATGGGTGTAACTCGGCAAAAACAGCAGTTAATTTGTTGCGGTTTTTTTAGCAACTGGGGATCCCAATCAGCCAGATGAAGATACTTCATACAGTGATTATGCTTCTGAGAGCTTCGAGTTGTCCATGGACTCAGCTTTGTCACCGATACCAACAGGTGGAGAAGACATGCCTACTGCTGCTGACCGATCAGTAGAAGGCACCACGCACCGAAGCAGTACCTCCATACAGTATTGTGAGACTTGCGTTGCCCTAAACCTTGGAACGGCTTGCCAGAATTCAACACATGGTATGTTGTGCTTTACATTGATTTATTAATTTCTGTCCTGGAATTTGGATTGGGTTTGGTTGTATGGCAAGTAAGCACCGTCGATTTATCAATATTTTCTCAAGTATTCAATATTATTTTGAAATCAATATCGCCGATAGTGATTTTTAAATCGTATCAAAATATTGAAATTTTCGTTATGGAGGAATGATATCGAAAATCTTAAAAATGAGTCAGATTATCGTCAAAATAAATCTCCTGTTTGTGCTTTTACTTTGTGTTTAACGTTTGCTGTATAATGAAATGAAACTTGGCGCAAGTTGTACTCGCTAAGCAGCTTCACTTTGAGCTCTGCGTTGGCTTGAATTCGCGGTCTTCCCTTTGTAAGACCTCAAAAGAAACCGCCCGTTCTGGACAAATGTCGGTGCCGAGATTTGTTTTAAAAGGTTTGAGCAATATGCTCCAGAGAAAGCCCTGGAAAATTGGGACTTGTATTGATAAGATTGTTTTTGTTTCATCAAAGTGTCATTTTTATGGTCTTTAACTTTTACATGGGATAATCGATCGATATATTGAATATTCTCGATATTGGATTTCCGATATATAGATTATTGAAAATTCTGATATCGATGGTGCTGAATGGCAAGCAGTACAATTGTTTTGGTAGCGTTTTCTATGGAATGGCAGAACAAAAGTTTGAGATAAACTGCCGGTGCAGGCATTTCGAGTTACGGGGATACAGGAATATTCGTGCACGTAATATCCTATTCTCGTGATTGGAATGGAGTATTCTAGATAAATGGAGTTTGAGTGATCTGAATTTACTGTAGAAGAGTTTACTGTACATCACAACTACTCTGCTTTCCAACTGTAAAAAAAAAAGTCCATAATGTATATATCTCTGCTTAAAAATCATGGAAGGAAAGTATTTTATAAAAGAGAAAAAAAGAAGAAAAATCAACTTTAAATTCTACACTCTAACTTGTCTTTTTTGTCTTTGACTTTTAAATTGCAGTCTTCGTTGGCATACCGCAGAAAGTTGAGCCAGCTCAGCTTGACAGTTTAACCTACAATGTGAAGGTCTTGACTCCCATCAAAGTTTACAATCATACCCAAGATATCACTTTCCTGATGCAAGGGACTCTTGATGAAACCAACCAGTGTTATTGCCCCAGAGTCACTGTAGGGCATGATGAGTACCTTTTTATTTTGCGAGAGGATAGTTCTGCAAGTTTCCCAATCACAAATGGCTTTGTTGGATTATGGGCCGACCACAGTGCAACTTACAATAGCACCTGCAACTTGTAATTCCTTGGCCACATTCATTGTCCATTCAAGTTTTGGCTATTTTGACCTTTAACCCCTTCAAGACCAGGAGTATCAACAGTGTCCAGTAAAATGATTTTAAATATGATTGAGGTTGTGTTGAATTTATTGTGCATCAAATAGGTCAACAATGGGCACGCAAAAACACTGCTGCAGAACGCTTTTATACTATGTTTTTTTTTTATATCCATATAGACATTTCCCCAAAAATATGACGACGTCAGCCAAAGACACCTTAAATTGAGTACTTATAGCATGGTTGATGCTATAACCCATTCCTGGTGGTTAAAAGCCCATCACATGGCCGGTCTTATATGATAAAGACCGGTAAGCTGGTATTAAACACTTTTTCCAGTGTCACATAAAATTTGGACTCTATGAAATCCAGTGCCTTTTACGTTTTATTAGTTGAACGTTCACAATCCTCACATAGGCATGCACAATGGTAGCAGTGAGTCAGAATTTCTTAGTCCTAAATTCACAACGCACCACCCCAGTGGCATTCCGCCGCGCCAAGCTCCATAAAAGGAGGTGTTTACGACATACTCGTGAGCTGGACACTCCGTTATATAGCTAGAGTTATATAAGTATTGAAAAACATGAAATGAGCTTGTTGAAAAAAATCTTTGGAAATTTTGAATTGTTTACTTGTTTTGACTTTTCGACCGAAAAGTTTTTATCTTTTTAAATTTTTATGGTTTTTTTAAAATATTTTTATTTGCTTGGTCGGTATTAAACATCATGTTTAAGACCTGGTGGAGGCTGGATGCTGATAGTTACCCTTGCCTTTGACTCCAGTAATTATCAGCATCCATACCCCAATCAGTCTTAAATAGAGTGTTTAAAACCTCTGAAGCACACATTTATTCCAGTCTGGCTCCATAACTGTTTGCAAATGAGTTATTTTGGCTACCAAAATGCACTTTTATTCAAATTCACTTTTATTCGAATTCACCTCTGATTTTTTTTTTTTCAATACAAGATACAAATAGTTAATCTTTTTTGTTTGAGTTTCAAGGGATGTTTCTACCATGTTGTATATTTTTTTAACAATATTACCTATTCAATAAGTTACCTCCACTTCATTTCGAAACTCAATAAATCTAATTTCTTCAGGGGGAAAAATAACAAATAATATGATGAAGGAAATTTGCCAGTGGTTCTGTATACATGTAGTTGCTTGGATTCGCTGGCGATTTTCCTCTCAATCAAGTGTCATAAACACTCTTTTTGTACAGTCAAAACCGGAAACGACAGGCAACTATTCATCCTTCCCCAAAAAGGACATTTTTTATAAGAAGGAATTTTAATCAGGGAGATATTTTATAATGGGTTTGCCGTTTTTCGCTCACATATTTAGAAACACTGTTTTGGACGGCGCGGTATTACGTTATGGTTAGCTGAGCCAGTGAATAGTCATTTGAATGTGCTGTTCATCGGTTGCTATGTAACCATACAGCACTCCATGTTTAAGACCATTGAGTTTCAAGACAATGGGTCTTGGATCTAGATAAGGCAATGTAAACATTTCCTGGATGTCCGCGCCTGCCTATACTTCGAGTTATCCGAGGGTAGTTTGTGGGCAAACATTCACAAACTCGGACCCGACTCGGCTGGGTCGTGGGTTCGAGTTCCACCTGGCTAAGCTTGTGAATTTCCTGCAAGCAGACAACGCTGAGTCATATACAGTGTTTATGACTATGTTGGCTAAGGACAACCCCCAATATAATACAGGACACTTTTAGTAAATATTGGTTTTTTATTTCAATTTTATGATTAAAGAGTATTTTAGGAGGTCAAATTTAGGAATGCACTTTTAGTAATAAACATCGCTTTGCCGAATACATGCACTGAAGGGAGCACAATTTTCTTACATGTAAATATAATTATACCAAAAATAGAGGTATTTGTCTATTTTGATAACTTTAAGAGTGATTATTGTTTTTAAAAACGTTATGCGCCTAGGCCGTATCAAATGCCCCCCCCCCCGCTTCCCCAGGTCTGATGTTGGGATTTGGTAACGTTTTTCATGCCCCAGGGTGGGGATTTTGGTCGCTCAAATTACATTGTTAACATTCGCGTACTACATGGAAAGACTAGTGTGCCCCACGTATGTATGTAGGGGCATGGTCGGGGATTGTTACTTTTGCCCGAGAAGTTGGGATTTCGTCACTTCAAAAGTGACCATCTCTTTGTCTTGGGTGGGGGGGGGGGGGGGGGGGGGGGGGGGGGGGGGGGGGGGGCGGGGGAAACAATTGATAACCGCATTACCATATTTTTGGCTGGTACCATATTTCAATAGGGGGCGCTGTTCAAATTCGACGATTATTAACACCAGATTACAGAACGGTGTACCGTATTTTGAACAGGCGGACATTAGGCCAAAAAAAAAATAATCTGTGTCTGGTCAGACCGAAGTTCCGGAATTGATGCGGCGACGCGTTGTTTTTTTTTTTTTTTTTTTTTTCAAGCTTGAATTGTACAGACAAGGTGGGTACTATTTTGCTTTTTTGTGTCATTATACATTGGTGTCCTCCATAATTTGCCTTGGTGAAATTTCCCCATTCCTTGGTGCTCCTTGGTACAAAAATTTGACGAGGTGCAGCAATAGAAGGCGCTGTTGTAGCTTCCGTGTTAATTGAAAGGAAGAAAAGGTTGACACGCATGATTAAAATTGACGCGCGCGCTGACCAGAGACCGAGTATTTTTTTTGTTCTTTATATACCAGTATAATTTTTCGGGGGGTGTCACAGCAGGGGGGGGGGGGGGTTGACTTATTTTTTAGGAATTTGTATGATAATTTTTTTTTTTTTTGACAGAGCCGGGGGGGGGGGTTGACCCCCCAAACCCCCTTTCTGGATCTGCGCCTCAATTTATTAATCAGCGAATCTGTTCAAAAATTGCATCGGGTTCGTTAGTGTGACGTCACCTCAAGCTCTTTCTGCAGGATTGGAACCGGAAGTTAACGCAGCTCGAGCGTTTGTAGCCAATCTGGTTCGTTAGTGTGACGTCATCTCATTTCAACCATGCGTGCTATTCCTTCCTCCATGGTGTAGCATAGCACGAATAAAACCGGAAGTTAACGCACCTCGAGCGTTTATCCAATGGGCGCTAGTTATCAGTGGCGCGCACACGTGTATGACGTTTTTACTAACGACCAGATAGACCACGGCTTTCGCCATGGTCTATAACATTGACTATATGCAGCCATGTGGTTGCGAAGGACGATTTCTAAGTTACGTTACACTTTATTTTGAAGAAACTACATGTGCACAGACATGTTGACAGGCGGGTGAAATCTTTGAATATTAATTTCTCCCGTTTGGAAGACCGTATGCTCATGGAACTTTGAGAGATAATTTCCCTTGTAATGATCCAAGTAAGTGCTAAAAATCGTTGTGATATGTTCATTATTTTTCGTTGAAATTGGAAAAATAGGCCTGGCTACGTGCATTTTTGAAAGTTGTAACACTGGTGTTCGCAATACCTGCCAATCTTTTCAAGCCTCACGAATATTAATAAGGTTCCTACGGTGTGCAGTTAAAATTTGCATAAAAGCCTCCTTCACGAGTTATTTAATAAAATATGACCCATTTTGCTGGCTTCCGAATTCCATTGGTCGATACCGAGACCCACGCCAAGTCACGGCGAGCTAGTGACGCTAATGAATATGCGATCGTCTTTGTGTTGCCGCCGGGCCGAAATCGGTCAACCATAGCGCCTACCGCGTTATAGGATCTTTGCTAAAAAGCATGCACGTGTTGGTGAAAAAATCCTCGTCGAAATTTTCCTGGGAGATAGTTCAAGGTGTAAAACTGGCGTTTGCAAGAACAGATTAAGCGGAATTATGTTTAAATGATATAAGTGCATGTTCAACTACTCGTGAAATAACAAGTTGAGTAAATTCCTTGAAAATGAAATAAAAACCTAAATTTGGGGACGTCTTCGAATGATTTCTTCCAGACTTGAAGGTCAGCTTTACCAGAAACCAGTATTGACACTTCGGCATCGATGACGATGATTTTTTTCACTGACATGAAGTTTAGATTTTTTTCTTCCGTTTTAATCGCAACCATACTGAGCATATTTTCTGAAAAACACAACGTTCAAAAGGCCATTTTTTTTTGGGGGGGGGGAAATTACAATTTAACTGCTCTGTAATACAGCGTCTAATTAGTGCGTAATCTGAAGAGCTTTGCTTGACAACGGGCCGCGCCACGCTTCGCTTTCGCAACAACATGGCGGTACACGCCGTCCGTTGGGACGAATATTTCAATGACACGTGATCAACGACCCACCAATCAGATCGGGATTTCTTCAGGTGCTGTATAATTAACAATTGTTTACTGCTGTTATGTGGGATATGAGGCTTTGAACACCCAAGAGTAGGGACGCATAGCACCCGAGGCGAAGCCACTCTATGGTCCCGAGGGTGCTCAAAACGTCGTATCCCACATCACAACATTATATTGTTACATCACAGCAGTGTATTGTTAAGTATACATATGTTAGTCCCTAGCCTAGCATGTCATTGAAGGGACAGGAATCATAATAACTCCACTATTGGGGGAGGAGAGGCCTAACTTTGGACCGCTCTATCTTCTATTCATTATTTCTTTAAACTATTTAGTCAGTAGTTGTCAAATGACTGTTGTTTGAAATGTTAGTGTCGGGAAATGAAAATATGTGTTATACATGTTACATGTGTTTGGCTTCTTTATGTTGTTTTCTATCCTCAAGGATACATGGACTCATGAAGCTTTTCACAACCAAAATGAGCTGGTAATTGGTATGGCCTCCTGCCAGACCACTGTCTCATTCTTGGGTCTAACCAAACCCTTTGTTTTAGAGAGATTTTCCCATGCCCATGTCTAGCTATTTTTGGTAGCAAGAATGTCACTTTCACTAGCTGTGGAGACAAATCAATTAAGGTTTGGAGGTTGTTGGGACCTGGAAGAAAACTTGCTGATCAGCAGATTCACCCAGGACTCCCTGAAACACTAGCCAATCAAAAAGTTTATATTCAAATTAATTCAGAAGGAAGGAGTAGTCAATTTAATATGTAGCCAATCGGCAAATGGATCGAAGTGTCCATCACCCAACTAAAGTGGGTATTTAAGGTCCCGCATCAGGGCCAAAAGACCAGTCTGCACCCACATCCAGCAGGCCACTGAAGCCAAGCCAATGTCGTAGCCATAGAGGGTGAGTTCTTGTCTTGTTATTTTGAGTTGTAATTTCGAGACTTAGTTTCTAGTTGAGAGCTATTTGTGTTCTGTAGTTGTAATATTGATTGAAGTTCATTCTTATATTTGGTGGTTCATGGTTTTAATCATTTGTTTGCATTTCTGTGCATGAAGTTATCTGCAGCTTGAGCCATTATTGTGTGAATAATTGTTGCACTTTTATTGACTCGAACCATGCTCGAACTTAGAAATTTACAATAATAGGTTCGGCAGTCAACTTAAATTGATCATGTGAATTGAACATGTATCTTAATTAGTGTATCATTGATAATATTGTGGAACCATTTGTTCAAGCATTATGTCATTCTTTTGTATATAGCTTCCAGCTACACAACTGGAGTTGAAGTGATGTACATGTAGCTGTACAGGCTGTTCTTTAACTTTATCCAGGTTAGCTCTTGATTCGTTGTGTTCTTGATCCACAAATTAAATCCCAGATATTGAGTACTGTATTTTTGGAAACAATGTTTACTCAATTCCAATTCACAAGTCAAGGCAGTGTATTTATTTGATTCTGTTTTCCAAGTTGTGCTGTAGCTGATGCACTATGTTATTCTGATCTTATGGTACAGTCAATGTTTTGCTCCTGGTACTTTAAATACCTTGAATTAAGGACAAGGACAAATCTCTGTCTAGCCCAAACAGTGTTATGTAACCTGTCACATTCCATCTATTGAGCACCAGCTGATGTACTGTTTATAGTGTTTTGGTTACCAGTACTATGACCTTTGAACTGTGTGTTGTTGTCTATTGTACAATGACTGTAGTAGTAGTATTTTAAACCCATGTTTTGCATTATTTCTTAATGTACAGGGGTCCGTTGAAGACCGTCTGTCATGGATCGGTTGTAAATTCTGTCAAGGACCGTCCATTAACCGTCTGTAGAGTCCGTTAGACTCTAGGTTCATCGAATAAAAGTTCATCAGAGAGACATCGCAGAACTGTGTCGTTGTCCGTTAGTTGTTGTATCTTGATCTCGAACCCTGCGTTCTAACGAATGCTAAACTAAATCCGCTGCGAGGATTATACGACATTAGTACATGTACATCTTTTAAGTGTTGCAGATAAGCTAATATGGAAGAGATTCGCATATAGCTATAGCTGGAACTTTTCCTCTGACGTGACTTAGACGGTGGTTTTCACTTTATTTTTTTTTTTTGACCGATATTTTCCATGTTCGTTCAAATATCAAAAACGCATCTAATGATATTTATCCTTTATGCAGCAAAGGATCCACTCAAATTAATTATGATCAAGTCGAATCAGATAGATTTTTTTGTCGGTGAAACTCTGGGTGTCATAAGAATATCAGAAGGTACTTGCAGACAGAACTTGAAAAATGTGACTGTATGCGCATAATTTTAATACAGGAAATCGCCTCTAGCTCTCCGGTATCACACGTACTCGATCAGGCGCGGTTCTACGGGAGGGGGGGGGGGGAGGGGGCTGTGGGGGGGGGGGCTGTAGCCCCCCCCCCCCAATTTTTTTTTTGTCTAGCCCCCCCCCCCCAAATAAATTCCGTTAAAAAAAATTGCATTAGCAAAAAGAAGGATTGCGATGAACATGTGAACGGTCTCCTCCTAAAAGAAGAAATAGCCGTGACAAGGGTGCATTAGTTATATAGTGCAAGGGCGGATCCAGGAGGGGGGGGGGGGCCAAAGGGGGCCATGCCCCCCCCCAAAAAAAAACGAAACCATTTTTTTTTTTATGTGACATCGCAATAAAGGCAGGCAATGAGTACACCACCATCTTTTCCTCAAAAACAATTGGTTAAAGTGGTCAAAAATTGCCTCAGATCGCACCACAGAGCATCTAGAATCCAAAAATTGTTCGGGGCCCTTAAGCGGGCCCCGAACCCCACGCCGTAATTTTTGGGACCTACTTTTTTGGGGGTCCAAAAATTGTTTTGGCCCCCCCACAAAAAAATTGTGTTCTGGATCCGCCCTTGCTATAGTGTGAATGATGTTAGGATTTTATTGGCGCTCCCCATTGAAAATATGGCATGAGCCCCCCCCCCCCCCCCCCACCACCCCCCCCCCCCCCCCCCCCCCCCCCAACCACCTATTGATTTTCGGAGGCCTAAGTGTCTGGAAAAAATAACCGGTCAACATTTCAGCACGCCTCCCTGAAAAAAATGTCTGCATCTACCGTGCCCCCCCCCCCCCCCCCCCCCCAAATATTGGTTCTAGATTGCGCCTGCCCGGTTGCTATAATTCGTCACATCAGTGCGCGACATCGCGTACGTAGCTGCATTCGGCTCAGCGAGAACATGTCTTGGACGCTGAATTCAGGCGCAATTCAAAACATGATTCAGCAACTTCTGATTTGAAATTGAGATCCTAGAATGCTGTTTTTCTCAGAATATACAGCTGAAGCTGAGCTGAAACTTTATCAGGTGAGTTGTTCAGTACCCTTCTTTAGATTTTGAGCACCGGCTTTTGTTGCTTCAAACGAACAAAATGCACAAATTACAAATGATGGACTATATTTTAAACAGCTGCAGCGAGATGTCTTTATAATAGGTAATGATAAATTACCTAGAATTCGAACGGAGGCGTTGACTAAAAGTAAAATAAACAATTGGGGGCGCCCTTTCAATCAACAATCGCCGACACAGCCGATGTTCGTTGAGCACACGTCTGCACAACTGACCATCGGGCCTGAATTTGCTGGCTTACTGAATACTGGACACGGTTTGAGTCAAGAGATGGCTGTTTCTGACCAAGCGAAAGAAAAGCTTTGTCCTGCGGTGTCTCAGGTATATTGTCTGCTGTAGCCCCATTCTACATACATGTTAATTGTAATTGTTCTGTCCACAGGATCGACTAGCAAACGTACGTAATTCCGTTTTGACCACGTTACCAAAATCACGGCAGAGACTCTTTACAAAATACAATGTAGGCCTATTTATACATAGGCTACTCCTAGAACTATGATGAAGGAGTGCTCTGAAATGTGCAAAACTAAATCAGGCCCACTTTACTCACAGTTTAGCCAGCAAGTTTCTCCAAAAATTCTACTGGGGCAAAGAAAATGTCCTCAGTATTTCACCAACCAAGTTTGCAGACCAAATTCAATTTTTAAAGGAGACATTTCTTCAATATTTTACACATGAGAGGGAAGTCAACTGATTTCAAAATGGGGCTAAATACTAGACTGGTACATGTCCAACCATGGTCCAACTATTTGAAAAGACTGACCTCTTCATTCGGTGTCAATAGTCTGGTGGCTTGACTATGGAGAAATGTGTAGTAAATTGAGACTAGTTCCCGCTTCATGCCACATGTTTCTTAAATTCTTTTGGCATGGTTGATTGATACAATACTGAAGTTGTGTTGGACTGGTTGTTTTAGGTGCCAGTCTATTTTCTTGTTTTGCATTGGGACTCTCATACACAGTATTGAGAGTCCCAAATTTTCGGACTAGCCCAAGCCCCTACCACTACTGGTTAATATTAACCAGTAGTGGTAGGAGCTTATGTATGTTTTGTCAAGTCTCTGCTGTGATTTTGGTATTTGGAAAGAATGTAGTTTCAAAGACGCCGGAACAATGCTGCAACCTGACGCCACTTCCGTGATTGTGTACAAAGTCTATGGAGAGTCAAGACAATTTTCTTTATTTCCTTAGAACAAATTCGGAAATGTTTTTCAGTCCCGGATTCGTGTCTTTTTAAAACACATTTGCAATGACTGACCGTGCTTTAATCAGTTTTAATGAGATGATACTTTTGACATTGTTTGATATGAAGAAAAACTGGCAAGAATATAGTGATCCAGACGACACTTCAGCAGTTGTCTACAAAGCCTATGGAGAGTCAAGAAAATTTTAGTTTCAAAGTTTCATGTATTTCCTAACAAAATTTCTTAGTCCCAGATTCATGTTTTTCAACATTTTTGCATTATCTGACCTGCATTGATATGATTTGAAGAGAAAAGTAACGTCACGTTGCAATACTCTATAAAAAAAACCAATTAAAAAGTGGCTACAGTTTGCAACATTTTTTCCAGGTAGGCCTATTTTTGTCGTCTTTGGCTTTGCCGTGGCCACTTTTGGAGTTGGTAGTCCGAGTAAATTGGACCCAACGTATCGTATTGCCTTTTAACATTCGGACATGGTGTGGCGATAGTAGGGTCAAAGTTGCAGTCATAGGGTTTCAGTCAACAACCCAACCATTTGCCAACCAAAACCATCAGATTCCACCCTCAAAATGGCCGCAAAATTACTAGATATACCACTTTATACAAAAGTAGAGATCGATGACTAAGATGGAGGTACTAAGGTTTACTAATCTGTATGAAAAGTCAAATCTAACGTTTAATTCTGAAGTCTCCGTAGCCAACTTTTAGAATTCTACAGAAGACACTATCATTTTTCGGATGGTGTGTGGGCTATAGGCTTTGAAAATCCAAATTGATCCACTTTCTGAAACACAAATCCACCCAATAAGTTACCCTGGTTGATCCATAACTCTTGAAAAGTTAGGAACAATGACATTGGGACCTTCCGACAGAAGTTTTGTGGAAAAATTCTGAGATTTTACTCACCACCGTGTGTTTTCAGACATCGAGTACATTGACCACAGACATCCATTTTCAGGAAACAGTCGCCTGCATACGTGAAGCCAGGCAACATGCAAGAACGCGCGTTGTCATGACATGACATAAGATATATGGAGAGCGACAAGGTCAAGTAGAGTACCTTGACTTGGGAACATACATGTAGAGGCCTTTATAGATACACACGCGTGCACCACGCATGACGTGAGTTATATCAAAGATAAATTACAATCTTCAAATTTGAATGATATCACAGCGACGACAACATGGGCTATTAAAGGAGACCTTGGAATTGAGGCCAAATAAAAAAACTATTATGTTTATCGTCCCTGCCCGCTTCTTTTTTGGAGGCCGCCTCCTTTTTTCCCCTATTTTTGGTGAGCTGCGAAGCAGATGCGAGCCTACATGTATGTAATACCAATTTCCGTCCGTCTGTCCGGGCGCCCGTCTGGCCGTTCTGACCATACCACCCTTGTGGGGTGATGTTCCTTTCAGGACACATCACCCCACTTTTTTTCACAATAGAAAAACATCACCCCAGAAGGGAATCTTTAGAAAAAGGGATAATGGGAACACAATGCTATCACCCCACAATTCCGTCTGGCTGGGGACGGACGGCCGGCCGTCCGCGTTCAGATAAAAATGTTGAAGTTTTTGGTTTTAGTTAACTTGGGTAAAAAAACTAAATGCAGTTGTCATGTATCATCTCTAGGCCTATAACTTCAGTTAGGTTCATATCATTGCAGTAAATTTTATGATTTTATTGAGGAACTTTAATTCAAGGAAAAGTTTTTAATTGTTACATGTACATGTATACTGGTATAACATGTATGTGTGTATATCGGTATAACATGTACATGTACACTATGCATTTTTGGGGATGTGCATGATCTTCTGGTTTGATCTTTTAGTTTATGGGGTTGGAGTAGGGATGGGGTAGGGGAGGGTGGGGTGGGGTGGGTTGGGGGATAGGGGTTGGAGTTAGGGTTTGTGTGAGTAGGATGAGAAGGGGAGCTAGGATGGGTGGGGCGGGGTGGGTTGGGGTGTGGTGGGGTGGGGAGAGGGGTTGGAATACTGGGTTTGGGTGGGGTGGGGATTTGTAGGGGTGGGGTGGGACAGGTAGGGAGAGACAGGTAGGGAGAGGATGGGCATGGATGTAGGGGTTGGGTTAGGAGGGGGTTGGGCAGGGGGCGGGATATAGGATCGGAGTAGGGGTTGGGTTGGGGATGTGTAGGGATGGGTTGTAGGGGTTGGATAAGGGGAGGGGGCAGTATATAGGGATCAGAGTAGGGGTTGCACGGGGTCAGGTGGGGGATATTGGAATTCGAGTAAGGGTTAGGGTGGGGATGTGTAGGGTGGGTAAGGACAGATAAGGGAAGATAGGGTAGGTGGGTGTAGGGGGTTGGGGTAGGGGAGGGTACGGGTCAGGGGAGGGGGAAGGAGATAGGGATTGGAGTTTGGGTGGGGTTGGGATGTGTAGGTGATAGGGTGGGGATGGTTAGGGGAGGATGGAATGGGTGTGGGTAGGGGGTTGGGAGGGGGAGGGGGCGGGTTTGGGATGGGGTAAGGTTTTTGGATGGGGTAAGGTTTGGGGGAGGTGGTGATGGTGCTGTGTCTACATGTACATGTATACCCATTCTTGTTCTGCATTTGTGGCGACTACACAAGATTTTTCCCATGGTAATACAAGTATGGGGAGCAGAAGACACTGTTGGGGCTGCAAAAATCCACAACTGGGTCCTATTTACCCTAACAATGGAAAACTCCCCCATAATAATACAGTGACGGTTAACCTACATACACATGTATTTATTAGGTAATCTGTTGACTTTTTATGTTGACATTTAAAAACTGACCCCTACACCTAGGCACATCAACAAGAATCCTGATCCCCTTCCATCATGCTCATCCCCAACCCTACCTTCAGCCTCCCTTCCTGCCTTGGACAGCGAGCCATGGCGGCTTCGCTGTTCTAGTTTTACTGGAAAAAAAATGATAAATATTAAACAGTGACATCAACTTGGCCTCTTTGTCTGTTGCATCTAGCCCATATAAAGCTGGTACATGTCATTTCAAGTCCAAGTGACGGCCAATTAAAAAAAAAAGCTGGCGGCCATCTTGAAAAATAGCCCAGTCGGGCAGCCATTTTGGAGGGGAAAAAAGGGCCTCCTTCTTTTTTTCAAAAAGGCAGGACGCTAAACATGTTTTTTTACTTGGCCTACACAGTAAATTTCACTTTTCATCCACATCATAAGTAAACCTTAGTACCCTGATCTCAGTCATCGACCTCTACTTGTATCTCAGGTGACGTATCTGTTTTGACGGTGAAATCTGATGTTTTGGTTGGCAAATGGTTGGATTGTATTGATTATTTTGAACCACCATGTCTGCATTCATCTTGGACCCTAGTATAGCCAGACCATATCTGAATGTTAAAAAGGCAATACACATTGGGCTCGGGCTATTGAGATGAATTGGTGAAAATACTGTAGTTTAACTATAGTTTACAGCTGAAAGGAAACCTGGGGTGGTAGTAATAGCCCCATGGATTTGTCTTAACCCTTACTCTCTGAGGGTAGTTTACTGCATGTCAGTTGGTTATGCCAATGCCCTCCAGCTGCAGTTTATTGGAGGATACTTTGATGTAGCAGTGAAGGCTCCAATTGGCAGGAGTTGGAGGCCCTGGAGGGTGCCTGATACTGACCAGCTGGGGGCACTCACTTTGTTATCAGAGGACTCTCATTGTTCTCTGTGGCATGTATTGGAGTGCCTGTCCAGTTACCCTTGAAATGACATGGCAGATATTGGAGGGCCATGCAAAAAACATAGGAGATTTTCTTGAGGCACATATTGGCATGCGTTGGAGGGTCTAGTAGGGTAAGGGTTAATTACTGGACTTCCTCCATACTACAGAGGTACATGAAGCGCAATTGGAAAAAATGTTGGGACTCCCACGCTTCGGAGATAATAAAATTGCATTTTATTTTCCTTTTATGTTTATCAAATAATATTTTTGTTGATACAGATTTTTGTACTTTTTCTTGGTGATCTATGGCTTTAGCCTAGATAATTTCTTAAAGGGAAATTAAGTCCGAGAACCATTTTGTTGATTATCTGTTTCCGAGAACAAAACATTTTTTTTATTCATGCATGTCAAATATTGTCAAGTCAGAGAACCAGATAGTCGACTGCCATTTATCCACTTGAGGCCTATTGGTAATGTTTAATTAGCAAGATTTGTATCATGTACATGTATCAGGGTAAAGTACCAGTATTTAAATTTGTCAAAACTGAATATATTGAAGCTTGGCAACAAAGACATTATTTTCTGATATTACGTGTACAAGCCACATATATGTAATCAGTGTAAAAGTACAGCGTGATAATTTTTGTTTGAACGATTTCTGTTTTCGAATTTCCCTGAGTTATTTTGTTTTTCCCTTTTTGGTTCCTACAGTATGGCCCGGCCAATGTGCGAGATCTTGAACCAGGCAAGAAGATGAAGTGGTGCACGTGTGGATTGAGTAAGACGCAACCGTGGTGTGATGGTGCGATTCACATTTCATTACATTAATGTTCCATTTTTTGTTTTTACTTTGCAAGTCCCACAAAAAAATCACCTCTTCCATGTCTTCTGTTATTCCCAAAGAGTGAACATTCACACTATTTTGAGTGAAAAGTAGCTCCATCTGCCTGATGCAATAAAGGATAAAACCATTTAGAGTGAAACTCAGTCATTAAAAAAACAATTCAAGTTTTTCTTGAATGATTCTTTTTTTTCAGACTTTTTCTTTGTTAAAATTCAATTGATTGTCGATCTAAATCTTGTTGTCTCTATCTAATTTCACTCTTTGGGAACAAAAGAGTTTAAACCCTGTGTATCTGATGTCAGATCTGTGAGAGTCATACGTAAACACTTCGTATTTCCATTTTTAGTGAAATTACATGTATTATGCCCTTGGTTGTGTTGACATTTTTTGATTGGTCTATTGACCTAACTAGGGTAGCCTATCATGACCCTTGATAAGAAGAAATCCATGGATACACATGTATACAGGACTTCATGTATTTTACATTTCACAATATTATGATGATTTTAACAAAATGAGGCCGTGTTCTCCATGTTATGTTGCCCAACACATGACAGTAGGGTGCAGTGTAGGGTGCACTGTTTCATGGTACATTCTTGTATTTCATGTGCAATCTTGCATGCTTACGTCCCTTAACCCACGGACCATGATCCATGCTTAACCTACATAACCTAACCACAAAATGGTGCTTTAAAGCTTTTATACTGTATATTTTCCGATTTTCTGAGTTAATGTATGTAATAGCGGAAAATTACAGCATAATCTTAAAATTGGCATTTCTTGGTTTCTCAGAAAAATTGTTTTTCTGGGGAGATTATTCGATGGCCCTTAATGTAAATAAAAAAGTGTGCCGGGTTGAACGTAATAAACACTGCCTTATTGGGTACCAGAACAATGGGAGGTACCCCAAAAGGAATGCCCACCGACTTGCGGGGTACCATTTTGGTACCCCTCAAGTTTTTCACGAAATAGATACATGTATATGGATTTTACTCAAAAACTATGGGTTGGTCCGTCGCAGATAGAACATTTTAAGAAAAGGGATATTAAGTCCGAATTTCAGCCCAGGAAATTAATTCTGGTTATAATAAGAGCATTTTGAAATTAGTGTGACAATTGCACAATTTTAGTACACGAGAACAAAGGAAGTACCCCACTTCTAGGGTGTGTGTGTGTGTGTGTGTGTGTGGGGGGGGGGGGTATATATCCTCCCCATCAGTATCCCTCCCACCCCCTTCACGTCCTTGCTCACATCAAAAAATATTGCTGAACATGTACAAGAATTACTAACCCCTCCCATGGCCCCCTTCCAACCCCTCTTCCCACCCCTCCCCCCTCCCCCCCCCCCCCCCCCCATCCACCAAACCAAGCTCTCCACTGACCCCCTCCCAAACATCCACAAAATATTTCTAACCCAGTAAGAAAATTACTAACCCCTCCCCTGGTCCCCCTCCCCTCACATCCACAAAATATTGCTGAAAATGTACAACTGTTACCAACCCCTCCCTTGTCCCCCTTCTGCTAACATCCAGAAAATATTGCTAACCATGTACAAAAACTACATGTACTCACCCCTCCCCTGTGTAGTTTCCAGAATCTCGCCCTTATATGTTAATCAATGTTTACAACTGTTACCCTTTAACCTTTAGCCCCACCGTGAATAGTTTAACCTTGCCCGCACTTCATTTGCATAGAAAGCATGGTCGCGCACAGTATTATGGGGCGATTTTACGACCTCATGATTCTAGCGTTTTCTCCGTGGAGCTGATACCTATCTTTTACCGTACTCGTACAACTGAATTCCGTCCAAACTTGAAGGAGTTTCAAGCTGAAAAGGATTCTAAAGATACCACCAGAGTTTTCTCATGCTTGTGAACATTTCAGTGCGATCCAGGTCGCTGTGTGATTTTAAGAGGTTTCCGATCCGAACTTCGTGAACTTTTGTGCATGTTGTGAACGACTCTGTGAGTAACGATCCCTTTGTACTCCAATATTTGGTGGAATAAAGTGAACAGATTTCATTGATTATAGAACTATAGAAGTACGCGTAAAGAATATCAGTTTTCTTTGACTTAGTGTCCACGGTCGCTACATTCAGTAAAAGATAGCAGCATACAGATAAATGAATATTTTGTGACTGTAACGATGAAATCGGGAAAGATCCCCTGCCGCTCCGCTCTGTCCGGAAATTGGGCCACGTTTATAAACGAACGCTAAACGACTCCCTGTGACTCGCGCTTGTCCGGAAACTGGGCAAGGACGATTAAATACTGTAAACGGTCGCCGTTCTTCAGCGTGTAGCAAACCAACCCCTCTGCCTAAATATGTCAACCCAAAATGAAGAAAAATCACAAGATAAAGCTGATTCTTCCAGCTCAGCTTCAATGCCAGAGCTCACACCACATGATACTGGGGCCGGATCAAATCCTCCCGTCTCGTCAAAATTACAAATGGAAATGACATGTGACCCAGAACTTGCAGAAGAAATTCATCCAGAAGACAGCATCTCTGTGGCACTCTTCGGAGATAAATCTAAGACATTGACTCGCAAAAGTGTTTCTGGACGATCTGACATCAGTAACGCCTCATCAGCAAAGACAACAATTTCCATACTGCTACACAAGCATCAGCAGAGAGAAGTCAAGCTTGCGGCCAGATCTGCTGCTCTTAAGGAACAAAACAAGCTCGAAGAGCGTAAACGCGCTCTTCAGCGAGAGCTCCAACTGCAAGAAGCAGAAGAAGAAATAAGATGCCTAAGACGGCGACAGCAAATCCAAGAAGAGCAAGCCAAGATTGAAAGTGAGCAGCAAGTTATCGAAATAAATGCTGAGCTGCAGGCAGCAAAAGCTATCACTAAGATGCTTAATGACGAAGAATTATCCAACGTATGTTCCCAAGGTTCCCAAAACTTTGTGGATGAAGTTGTACATGCCATTGAATCCGATGCCTCGAGACGTAATCCTGCAGTGATAAACCAGCTGAATCACGAAGCACCGGTTTTCTCCATCAAATCTATGGCCGAACCTGCCCGACCCGTGATGGCCCCGGCACCAGACTATGGTGAGAACTCAAAGGGGAAACCCTCTGCCACACAGCAATCCTGTGAACCTGTGGATCCAATGCCATTTAAGGATGAGGGCAGTCTTCATAAAGATAAAACCCTGATGAAAGAGCCAGTGACAAAAGAAAGTGACAAGAAAGAGTGTCAAATTCCAGAGGCACCGATGGCATTGCTTCTCAGCAAAATTGTGGACAGCCAAAGGGAAGCTGCACTTCCATCTTCGGAAATAGATCCCTTCAGCGGAGCAGATGTCCTCTCCTACATGACATTCATGAAGAACTTTGGTTATGTGGTGGAGGGCAAAACCAACGACCCAGCAAGAAGGCTCGAACTCCTCCTAAAGTATACAAAGGGGGAAGCCCATGAGCTTATTAAAGAGTGTCCTATGATTGAAACCCCATCACAAGCCTACGAACGGGCAAAACAGCTACTCAAACGTGACTATGGGCAACCACCAATATTGGCGGCGGCTTACAAGAATAAAGCTGAGCAATGGGGAAAGATTGCAACAGGAGACAAGACAGGCTTGAGGAAATTCTCCATCTTTCTCATCAACTGTTGCAGCGGGAAGCAGAGCAACCGTGACATGGCCAGCATGGACGGCTTCGAATTCTTGAAGCTGTTGGCCGGAAAACTGCCTGTTGCCCTCCAACAGCAGTGGATCAGACAAGTAGGCAAATTCAGAGAAATTGAAGAGCGCTCGCCTACATTAGAAGATTTTGAGAGATTCGTGGGACAAATTTCCAGAAACGAAAATGACCCACGAATTGCTGGCCTTGGTTACCAACGCAGAAATGAGGAAGAGAAAAAACAACTCTACAAATCAACCCGGCATGAAAGTAGAGGAGTTACTCAGAGGAAAGCCTTTGCAGCCACAGTGAAGGAAAGAAGAGACGCGCCCAAACATACTTCAAAGGACAACAAAGCAGCCAAAGCACCATGCCTATACTGTGGGGATGGCACAAATCACTGTGTGCTGGACTGCAGAAAGTTTGCATCACTGGACGCAAAGGCGAAATCCGAATTTTGCCACAAAAGGGGCATGTGTTTCGGGTGCCTAAACCCGGGGCATATGAAAAAGACATGCCCAAACCCAGACTGGGCAAAGTGCAGCCTGTGTCCAAGGCGGCATGTCACTTGCATGCATGACCCGGATCGACAACCAGCCACACCAAAGAATGAACAGAAAGAACCAGAAACTGCAAAGGTGACCACAGGCTGTGTGAGTGTAGAAGCAAAGGCATGTGGAGCGACAAACACGGATAAGACCAACCCACTGATGGCAATCGTTCCAGTGACGATCAAAGCAAAATCCAGCTCTGAGTGCATTACCACATATGCATTCATAGACAATGGATGTGGAGCTGTCTTTTCCACCAAAGAGCTAAACCGACAATTGAAGACAAAGTCCAGAAAAACCAAGCTGATCATCAAAACAATGAACTCAGAAGAACTAATCAACACTGAAGTCATTCTGGACGAACTGCAACTCAGCAGCATCAACGGTGACACCTTCATTGATCTCCCAGCAGTCTTCATGAAGGACAGTATGCCAGTTACAATGAAAGAAGCCCCAACCCAGCGAGACTTGAATGAGTGGAGCCACCTGAAGCAAATCAAGCTCCCAGACCAAAGAAACATTGACATTCCCAAAGTCAGCCTGATGATTGGAGTCAATGTTCCGGCTGCGTCACTACCTTTAGAGACAGCAGCTGGCCACCTTGGCGATCCTTACGCCATCAGAAGCCCCCTGGGCTGGCTAGTGTATGGACTGCCTGGAAAGTTGAGAGATCAGCCAGAGGTCAGCGTCAACTTTTGCAAAGTTGATAATGGAGTCGTGCATGATAGCAGAGACCACCTCAACACACAGTTGAAGAGATACATCAACATGGATTTCAACGAGCGCCTGAATGATGACAAGCAAGCTATGTCTGTCGAAGATAGACAATTCATCACTATCATGGATGAGTCTGTCGTCAAAACCAATGGTCACTATCAGATGAAGTTACCGTTCCGTGACCGTAAGGTCTGCATGCCAAACAACCGATCCCAGGCTGGCATGTTTGCTGCAAGACTGAGCAAGAAACTCAGTAAGGATGACAGGTTGAAGACACAATACACTGATTTCATGACAGATCTAGAAAGAAAGGGCTTTGCAGAGAGGGTACCACTACCAGAAATAAAGCGAGATGATGGCAGAGTATGGTATATCCCACACCACGGCGTATATCATCCAAGAAAGCCCGACAAGCTGAGGGTGGTATTTAACTGCCCGGTAGACTTCAAGGGAACATCGCTAAACAGCCAACTACTACAAGGCCCAGACATGACCAACCACATGTATGGGGTTCTTCTTCGATGGAGACAAGAAAATGTGGCTATCATGGCAGACATCGAAGCGATGTTTTACCAGGTGAGGGTGACACCAGGAGACTGTGATATGCTACGCTTCTTGTGGTGGCCGGAAGGTGACCTGCAGAGGGAACCAGAGGTGTACCGAATGTTGGTGCATTTGTTTGGTGCAGTATCTTCACCGAGCTGTGCCAACTATGCCCTCAAGAAGACAGCCACTGACAATGAACACAAATATAGAAGAGAAGTAATACAAGCCATACATAATGACTTCTATGTAGATGACTTCGTAAAGTCTGTGGCAACTGAAGATGAAGGCATAAGCCTTGCAAAAGACATGAAAAGAGCAGTAGCAGAAGGGGGCTTCAAGCTCACAAAGTGGACCAGCAACAGCAGAAAACTGCTTACAACCATACCCAAAGAAGATCTGGCCAAAGAGGTGAGGAACCTTGATCTCCAAACTGATGAGCTACCAGTGGAACGTGCCCTGGGTGTGCAGTGGTGCATTGAAGATGATCGCCTGCAATTTAGCCAGGAAAAAGTGAATCCGAAACCGACCCGAAGAAACATCTTATCAGTGATGAGCTCCATATTCGACCCATTTGGAGCTACTTCTCCCTTTGTCTTACGGGCGAAGATGATCCTGCAGTCGTTGTGCCGAAACAAGATAGGGTGGGACGATCCCATCCCTACAAAGGAAAAACAAGAATGGGAAAACTGGCTCAAGGACTTGCCCAACCTGAACAGGGTGCAACTAAACCGATGTTTCAAACCTGTGAACTTCGGAAAGGTGGCCAATGTACAAATGCATCACTTCACTGATGCAAGCCAGCAAGGTTATGGTACTGTAACCTACCTGCGCCTGACGAATGAAAACCGTGAAACCCACTGCGAGTTTGTGTGTGCCAAAGCCAGAGTTGCACCTCTAAAGACGCACACTATTGTCAAGATGGAACTAACTGCAGCCACCTCTGCAGTCCGTCAAGATGACCTCTTGAAGAGAGAGCTCACAGTGAACATTGATCAGACTGTATTCTGGACAGATAGCCAGACAGTTCTGAAATACATCATGAATGAGACCACCAGATTCCCAGTTTTTGTAGCGAATCGCATCGCCGTGATCAGAGACGGGTCTGATATCAGCCAGTGGAGATATGTCCCCACTAAATTGAACCCTGCTGACCATGCTTCGCGGGGCCTCAGTGCAGAAGAACTGATCAACAAACCGGAGTGGCTGGGGGGCCCAAACTTCCTCAGCCAACTAGAAGAAAGCTGGCCCGGTGCCGAACAAATTCAGATGGAAGATGACGAGAAAAATGACAACTGCGAAGTGGCTGATGGTGCTTCCCAAGTGAACGTAAATGTAGTGATGACATCCAACGAGACCAGTGCCATAGACCAGCTGATCCATCACTACTCAGACTGGACGAAGCTAAAAAGGGCGATAGCATGGTGGTTACGCCTAAAGACCATGTTGCAGCACAGGAAGACCAACTGTAACAAGAAGCCCCTGCAGAATAAGCCTCTAACAGTTGAAGAAATGCAGTGTGCTGAAAAGGCCATCTTGAAGTATGTTCAAGGATGTGCTTTTCCCAGAGAAGTTGAGGCACTCAAAAATGTGAAAACAAGCGGCCAAAATCCAGACAACGCTTTGGCTGCTGGAAAGGAAGCTACCCCAATAGGACACCAGAGAAAGCCGATCAATAAAGGAAGTCCATTGATTAGCTTAGACCCAGAGCTGCGTGATGGACTCTTAACAGTTGGTGGCAGGCTTCGGCATGCATCAATCCCCGAAGCTGCCAAACACCAGCTGATTCTGCCAAAGGACCACCACATTTCCACTCTGGTGATCAGACACATCCACCAGAGAAGCGGACATCAAGGGAGAAATCACATCCTAGCGGAACTCAGACAAAGGTACTGGATACTCAAAGCTGGTGTAGCAGTCAGGAGCGTAATACACCAATGCGTCATATGCCGAAAGTACCAAGCTGGACCCGGTAAACAGAAGATGGCTGATTTGCCAGCTTACCGTGTACGGCCTGATGCCCCACCATTCACATATACTGGAGTGGACTATTTCGGCCCATTCGATATCAAGTATGGGCGAGTTATCAGAAAGAGATATGGTGTAGTATTCACCTGCCTTACTAGCCGTGCTATTCACATTGAGGTGGCCGATTCCCTCGACACCAGCTCATGCATCAGTGCACTCAGACGATTCATGGCTAGGCGTGGCAAAGTGAAAGAAATCCACTCAGACAATGGATCCAACTTTGTTGGAGCCGACAAAGAGCTTCAGCGAGCAATGCAGGAGTGGAACCATGGCGAAATCAACAATTTTGCCTTGAAGCATGACATCAAGTGGCAGTTCAACACACCAGCAGCCTCTCATCATGGAGGTGTGTGGGAGAGGCAAATCAGAACAATACGTAAAATTCTCCACGCCATATTGAGTGAGCAGTACATGAAGACGTGCCAGAGTGAGGAACAGTTGCGCACCTTCATGTGTGAGGTCGAGGCTGTAATTAACAGCCGGCCCCTGACACGAGCATCGGATGACCCTCATGACCTGAGTGTCATCACGCCGAACAGCCTGATACTTCTGAAACCTGATTCAACATTACCACCTGGAGTCTTCTCCCAGGAGGACCAGTACTCACGAAGGAGATGGCGTCAGATGCAGTACATGGCGGATGTCTTCTGGAAGAGGTGGACTAGAGAGTACCTACCTACCCTACAGCAACGCCAGAAATGGTCCCAACCTAGCAGAAACATAGAGAAGGGTGATGTTGTGCTCATCGTTGATAACAGCGCCCCGAGAAACTCCTGGCCAATGGGACTTGTTCAGGAGGTATTCATGGACAAACGAGGACACGTACGCAGTGTTAAAGTGAAGACCAAGACTTCAGTTTTGGTCAGGCCTATTACCAAGCTGTGTCTGCTTCTAGAGCAGGACGTCGAGTAATCATCAAGACTTGAACTCTTAGGGAAGGTATGCAGATGTCCGTCAAGTGGACATCTCAGGGGAATAGACTCCCCTGCCTTGCATAGTCTCAGGTCACCCTTGGGCAAGGTGTAGTACCTGTTTGCCTCCCGAACCAGGGTTACGGTCTGATGAATCCTCATCTGTCAACTTTACCGGAATAGTGAAAACTACAGTGACAATACCTTGCTTACCAGGAGAACCGGAACCAGCTGTACATGCGTCGAAACATGGACTGTGATTTGGTGACTTCATCTCGGCAGATCACTTGAACAGTTTATTCATTCTGATTTGTGTTAAGTTTCAAACCATTTTCCAAAATATTTGAACGTCAGTGATCGTATGAACTTCAAAGCATGGACAGTAGAATCCGAACTTTCGACTACGCAGAATTGGCCAAGTCACATTTAGCGGTCAAAATTATTTAGTGGTTCATAAGTTTAAGTAGTTTGTTGTAGTTTAGAGTTTTACTAATAGTTCTGAGATATTGGAAACTAGAATTGTTATCGCCCTTTATCAGTGCGACTGGGGCCGGAATGTAGTTTCCAGAATCTCGCCCTTATATGTTAATCAATGTTTACAACTGTTACCCTTTAACCTTTAGCCCCACCGTGAATAGTTTAACCTTGCCCGCACTTCATTTGCATAGAAAGCATGGTCGCGCACAGTATTATGGGGCGATTTTACGACCTCATGATTCTAGCGTTTTCTCCGTGGAGCTGATACCTATCTTTTACCGTACTCGTACAACTGAATTCCGTCCAAACTTGAAGGAGTTTCAAGCTGAAAAGGATTCTAAAGATACCACCAGAGTTTTCTCATGCTTGTGAACATTTCAGTGCGATCCAGGTCGCTGTGTGATTTTAAGAGGTTTCCGATCCGAACTTCGTGAACTTTTGTGCATGTTGTGAACGACTCTGTGAGTAACGATCCCTTTGTACTCCAATATTTGGTGGAATAAAGTGAACAGATTTCATTGATTATAGAACTATAGAAGTACGCGTAAAGAATATCAGTTTTCTTTGACTTAGTGTCCACGGTCGCTACACCCTGGTCCCCCACTTCCCATCACTTCCACAAACTATTGCTGACCATGTACAATAATTAACAACCCCCTCCTCTCACATCCACTAAATATTGCTGACTGTGTTCACGAATCTCGAACTCCTCCACTGGCCCCTTCCCTCACATCCACAAAATATTGCTGAACAGCTGCAACACCAAATCTGTTGACGTCTTGCATATTTAGTTTTGCCGATAAGACATTTTCTTGTAGATTAAGTAAGATTAAGGCTGTTATTAGTATATTTTTCAAATCATTACTCCGTGGTTGGGTGCACCTCTTCTCCCAGGAACACGTGGGCCTAAATATTCCCTGCTTTGTTTTTGCAGGAGCACACAAAGGAACAGGCTTTAAATCTCTCAAGTGGATTGTTCCAGAGAAACCTCAGAGTGTATACTCCATCTGCATGTGCAAGCACACCAAGAATCCGCCGTTCTGTGATGCTACCCACACTAACCTCCCCGCAGCAGTGGAACAGACTCAGACCTCTTGCCCTGGTAGGAGTGACCACCACATGAGAGCGTGCCCAAAACTTTGCACCAAGTGTGGCTGGGTGCCAGACTTTTGACGATGGGCTAATTACATGTAGGGCCACCAATCTTTTAGGAACTTTGACTTTAAACTTGAACATCCTGAACGTTCCAAAGGTTTCTGTTTAAAGAACAAAAATTGTTAAAACAGCACAAATTGAAATACGGGTTTGTGCAAGTAAAGATCTCTGAAGTTGACTTTGAGAAAATCATTTCAAAATGTACACATATTTATAATAATGGACTAAGAATTTCACAATGTTTGGTACACTAGTATAACCGAGATGTTTGATTATGAGGTGAAGTTTCATTTATTTACACCAATTTTGTAGAAATTTTTAACATCACTGTAATGCAAAAAAACAAAAAAATAGTTATCCAAATTGAGAGGCTCTCTCATAAGAGACATTTTGGTTTGTTTTATTTCGCCCTATTTGATGTGTAAGAACTTCAGGAATGAGCTCTTTTGGTGATGGTGTCATATGCGCTTCATGTGACAATTTTAATGATTAAATGTACATTTTGCTCAGTGAGTCACTTCTGGAAAATATATTCATGAAATCTGCCCAATTTAAAGTCCGAAGAACATATAGTAACATTACTTTTGCGTATAAGCGTACTACGTTACATGCACTAGAAGTCATAAATGTAAGAAAATATAAGTATTATTAATATGTTACTTAATATGCATTACAATACATACGTATTATTTCTCCCATCAAACATGTATCGGCAAAGACTATTAGCCCAAAATATGGTGAATATTAAGATTTTTACATGACGTTTTTTGATATAATCATAACATATTTTGTGAATAATCATACTTATAATTATATCATATGAAAACAAATATATGAAGGCAAAACGTTACAAGAATGCAATTTCATATTAATTGTATAAAAGTCTTATGAGAATTTAGAAGACAAATAACACATTGTGCTCTGATCAAAAAAGTTAACGAAACAAAACGTCCCGGCATTCATTCTCCATCAAACCACACGTCTGCTATTTAAATGATTTTTTTTTTTGGGGGGGGGGGTCTTTTGATAAAAACATTTTGGTTTTCATTAAAAATTGTGTTTCTATGATACAAATGTAGTTACAGTCCACATTCTTATGGAAAACAAATCCGGCCTCAATGTCTCAATAAGTAACGACTTGTATAACCACAGAAGCGCGTTGTCACGTAATAATTGCTTTGTTCCCAAAAAGTGTTCCTTTCCTAAATATGACATGTCCACATCTTTAAATTGCTTTACATCGTTAAAACAAGTCTTTTACAAGTAAAGCATAATGAATTTTAACTTTAACTATTGTGTTAAAATGGTATTAAATCAATTCATTTCTATATGTTTTGGGGTCCTGAGTTTTGGATGATTACAAACGTTTTTTAATTCGGATCCTATCATCCTGCGCCAATATAACTGCAGTGAATGTAATTTCAAGATGATTTTTTTTAGTATTGATGAAATTGGCAAGAAACTGAAATGGCTTTTCGTTTTGATTGCGCATTGTCCTTTTCATTTCACAACGTGCCTTCATGATAAATTGTCAAGCGCTCGAATTTGTTGCATTGAATATAAATGGGCGAATATACAATTATCTGCAAGTTTCGGGCAATAATCCAACAAAGCCATTAGCGATTTAAAGAGTCACAGGAGTGCCCTCATCATGAAAGGGTAGTCGTCATTGTCTACAGTGGCTCTTGGGCAGTAACATTGGCTTGTTTCATCAAGAGTGCTTTCAATTGTTTTGGACAATTTTCTTGATTTTAAGGGTGATGTCTGTACTAGTTGCATTAGAAAATTCAAAATAGGAAAAATCATACAGCAACCAGCAGCGGTATTCTTTGATGGACAATGACTCGCCAAAAAATGAGCCGATAACTTGACATTTTTATGGATATTGTAGATACACGTGATATGTCTAAAGACTTTAGGGGGAAATGGGTGATGTCATCTTGTGGTGACCGCAGCAAAACTAAAAGATGGCATTATGTCACTTAATGTTAGCTAAGGCCAAAAAAAAAGTCTCCGGTTTCTGGTATGCGCGCGCGTCGCCGTAGCCATGCGCGTCGGCAAAATGAAAAAGTTTTTTTTTCAATACAAGATGATGTCTCAAAACCGCCAAACTCACTGGTTCGACTGGAATTCTGCTGCTGCACAATTTTAATGTGTTTTTAGATGGGGTTATGATCGAGAATAAGCTTTATGTGGCCTCTTTGGACTCCCATATATTTGCACTAAGTTTAGTCGGGCACCATTTGCAGTCATCAGCCGACATTTGCAGCCAAAAAAAAAAAAAAAAAAAAACAGGTAAAAAAAAAAAAAGCCGCATCGCCGCACCACTTTTGGGGCAAGTTCCATACCAGAAACCGGAGACTTTTTTTGGCCTAACCAATGTTCCTCCCAAGTTTGAGGAAATCAGTAGAAGCATTTGGTGCTGATACCCTGCAATTTGAGATCAGCACCAAAATGGATGCTGATGATGCTGTGCAGGATACCGAGCCCTAAGCATTCTGATAAATATAAAAGAGGCACACGCCTCTGGTATTGAAGAGATTAAAGTAAAAACAAAAAAAGCCAAAACTTGAATGGCAAATGAATGCAACCAAGACATAAATAGTTGCATGTGTTATAAACGCCTAACAAAAACAAAAAAATCCACAATTATATAGACCTTTGGAAAATTTTGTTATCCACATTTTGACACCCCGTTTGCTATACCATTTAGGCCTACTGTAAATCGTCCAAGATTGGCAACGGTTTATAAAAAAAAAATGATGGAGATTGAAAAGTTGCAAATTAAAAATGAAACAAAACGTAATTTTTTATAGATAAATCGATAAAGAAGTTCAGATTTTTTTTTTCACTCGGACCTACCTGTACACAAATAATGTACATAATCAATCTTTGCACTACCCTATCGTAGAGCGTTGACCTCTAATTCTTTAAACTCTCGTCTGATGGATATTGTTTAATCTGTGATTTTGGGTCAAACATTAGAATATTCACTAGACTTGTTTTCATAATTTGTTTTTTTTTTTTGATGTGGAAATTCCCGGGAAAAGTATGGTTTCAAGCAGGACACACAGAAAATATAATTCCTACTTCCGCCGCCTTAACCCCCGAGGTGAAATATGATAGTAGATGGAGCTCTCGGAAGAATCTTCAGGGGTTGGGGTAGCTTCATCCAGATCTCGGGTCTCTGGTTGCTACAAAGAAACAAAACATGCAATGAATTAAAAGTTTTTTGAGGAGTACCACACGTGTTATAATAAGCGCAATACCATCTCTGCGTGGAACAACGAAGTGTGAGTGCGTGAGGATGGATGAACATATGTGTGTGCATCCAGACGTGGGGGGGGGGGGGGGGCATCACCAAAAAGGGGCACTTGCAAACCCGTGCTGAAATGTTGACACGTTTTTTTCACCGGACACTTGGCCTCCGTAAAATCAAAAAGTTGGGGGGGGGGGGGGAGGTGGTACAATCTTCTAACATAGGGGGCTCCCCCCCCCCCCCGGTTCCGCCGCCCCTGCCCCTCAGCATACTCACATAGGCACTGCAATCTGGGAGGCCGATGGCATGAAGTATGCTAGTGTTTTGGACCGGGTATGTCCAGTTTTTCTTTATATAGCGCCCCGATCGGTTGACCATTTTTATAGCCCGTTTCGCACATGTAGTTGTCAAGTTTACACCCATTTGCAGAATTATCACATACTTATTGCCTTCGGATGAACTGCTAGCTCTGTAATCACCTGTAATTCATTTTCTTTCTCATTAAGGCCTATGTAGCTAAATTTAGAGGTATCTTTAGGGCTATTTTTGGATTTTTTTAATGTAAACACACACGATATGAGCTCATATTGCAGCCATATCGTATATATATACTGGTATAGCACAGCAAAACGTTTTACACATCTAAGTTATAGACAGAGTTGTAACCAAGTCATTTTTTCCACGTCAAGTCAAGTCCCAAGACAATTTTTCACAAGTCAAGTCAAGTCCCAATAAAGTCAAGTTTTTTTTCAAGTCAAGTTAAGTCTCGAGTCATTTAAAAAAAAAAAAATAGATGTACATACTAAGTACGTGAACCAGTTTATGTGTTCGACGACGGAGCCGGAGTAAAAATGGGAATGGGGTTTATCAAAGCGTGCATCATGTAAGGAGATTAAAAAAATCATACTTTTTCAAACATCCTCTCTCAAACTCCTTATTTGTATCTGAAGAATCTAAAAACCGCATTTTGATATATTATATTCAACCTTGTGCCATTGTGTTGAATGTTTGACGGACGTCTGACAAAATGTCCTTCCGTTTTCGTTTAATGCATGATATGTAAATTCTTGTTGCTTTATAGTTGCAGGCCAGTAAATCGGTCCGAAATTGCCTGCGCCCGACAAATCACGATTTGCATGCCCTCAAAATCTTCAGTATTTGAGCATGCTGTGGGCCATGAACTTGAGGGCTTGTAAAAAATATGGGTGGAAGCCGTGCACAGGACTGTGAGCTTGTAGTTCCGTTCAATTTGGATGAAATTGGGGCCCTTAAAGCGCTCTATTTTGCAATGGAGTGTAGGCATCGTTTTTCAACATGGCGCTGGGCTTCAGGACTATTTTCAGGGGTGATCATTTTCAGATGGAAATTTCTCCTAAATGTCATCAGTTAACCCCCCAAAAATTGAAAAGAAAATGAAAGATGATGAAATAAGCTTTAAGTTGATGTGTGTCTCGAACACCTTGGAGAGTTGTAAGTATTTTTCCCGAACTTTTGAAGTGTGAGCATTTACCATTTGGGTCTATGGAAGTTTATTTACTGGTCTGCTACCTTATGGCGGATTGGGGGTAGCAGCCGTTTTCCAGTCGTTTAAACCCTAGTTGCATACAGCACGCTTACAGTAAACCACTCAATGTGTATATGGTCTGAATGGAATGACCAATAACAACGGATTGTAGTAGTGTAGGTAGACTTCCTGGTACACTTTGACCTTTGGCATAGAAATATGTAAAGGTCACATAAATATGTAAATATGTAGATACAGATATTAATATGAATGAATGGGGTTAGGAAATTCTGGCACAGTTTGACCCCTAATGAATGGATGGGATGAATAAGAAATAGGTGAGGGTAAGGAATTGGGTACAGTTTGACCTATTCTATGGGAAAGATTGCATATATGTATGGGGAAATATAAAAATGTATAGTACAATTTGACCTTAGCCCTAACAATATACATGTAGTTATGGTGACGTAGGTGTCCGGAAGTGAGCATCGATCTGAGATAATCTGTTCGGACAATAGACTGTTGACGTAGGTGCGCTCGCGTGTGGTAAGTGTGTAATCTGTCGGACAATAGGACTTTAAGTGGCCGGAAGTAATGATTGATCGCTCCGTGGGGGTTAGCCGGAACAGATCGATATTTCTCGAAAGGGCCATCGTAGGCCGTTGTGTGAGGCATAGTTTTTGATAAATCGAAGGTCCAAGATAGCTAATAATCCGTGCGTATGTACGGAAACTGGTCGTCGTTCAATGATGATACATAATTCATTATCCCCGTGCACCAATATTTCTCTTAATTGTTATTCGATACAATATCGATGGCACTCTTTTTCTTGCTCATTGTACTCATTGCAGAAATGAGTACAATGACCAAGAAAAATCAAGGAATGAGTGAATGAGTAATCAAAAGAGTTCGAAATGAGTAAATGAGTAACGAAATGAGTAAATGAGTAACGAAATGAGTAAATGAGTAACGAAATGAGTAACCAATTGAGTAGCAAATGAGTAAATGAGTAACAAAATGAGTAAATGAGTAACCAAATGAGTAAATGAGTAACCAAATGAGTAAATGAGTAACGAGATGAGTAGCAAATGAGTAAATGAGTAACGCCATGAGTAAATGAGTAACCAAATGAGTAAATGAGTAACCAAATGAGTAGCAAATGAGTGAATGAGTAATCAAATGAGTGAATGAGTAATCAAATGAGTAACGAAATGAGTAAATGAGTAACGAATTGAGTAAATGAGTAACGCCATGAGTGAATGAGTAATCAAATGAGTAAATGAGTAACGCCATGAGTATATATATATTAAATTATTTCATCCGTTCCTTACCATTCGGAGATTAACCGTCAAAGCTTCAACATGAATACTATTTCTGCAGTCAAACCCTATGCTTGTCATCAGTGTGACAGACGCTTTGGACGGAGATATAACCTCTTGAGACATACCGAAAATGCACATGCTGAAGATGAATCCGACATAGACGAAGTTGAGGTGGATAATTCTGAACCTGAATTTAAAAGCAGTAGATTTGAAGATCCGGAAATGGAAAACTATGAAACTGAATCTACGTATGATGAAGACGAAGATCTTGAGGCAAATGATTCCGAATCCGTCACGGAGGTGGAAGATGACGAATCATCTGATGAAGATGAATCTAGTTCTGATTTGGAAGACAATGCAGCCTATTTAGACTGGTTGGGAGAGGCAAAAGAAGCGATTGGTGAAATGTGGAGTGAAAAACATGAAAAGTACATCAACGAGGGCATGAGTGAAGATCAGGCCACGGAAAAGGCCAACAGAAAAACCCTGTGGGCAGTCAAGCGAATCTTTTTATACAAATACAAAGATTTTCTGTCAAGTTACATACATCTGAAAGATAATGATACTCATCAAGAAATTGTGGACGAGATCGAAGACAGATTGAAATCCGGCATTCTGATGCCCACAGCTCTCAGCAGGGTCATATCTAAACACCAGGCCAAATTTGACGGCCTGTTCCATCAAGATGAAGATGACGTTAACGAGGAAGACAGTGACGATTAAGGACTAGTCAACGTTACATTAAAATCACTGATGATTTAATTGCAAAGAATACATTTAAAAACAAATTAAAAAAACACACGAGTGTTTTAATGAGAAATGACGTCAATAAAGCAATAATGTTATAACGTATACACTTTCTGCAGTTGTATTTTTCTTTGTTGGTGTTGTCTTACAGTTAAACAATCGGGAAAGCCCTACTGTCATGCAGTCATATAATTAGTGTTTGGACACGCCCTGTTGATTATCCCCGAAATATTTCCGGTCTTTAATGCTTCATGTATGGCTTTATCACGCACCGTGTCCAACTTTGGGACTTTGTTGGAGGTAACAAATTTAGTTGCCTTATGACACTCTAAATCTTCAATATACAATAGAAGTACTTACCATTGGTTTAACACAAAAATACCTAGTTATATATATCCTTAATTTTGTAAACAAGTCCAGCCCGGTGGTACAACTAGGGTTCGGTGCATTCCTGTACAGACAGCGGTAAAGGGGTATTAAGGATTGAAATCATGTTTAGTCAGTCAACTTCATTGACTTCTTTCACGTACAGATATATGAAGCTCCCTCACATGCCGCGCTCTGCCAATTAAGTCCCATTGTCCCAGGGAGTCTTTGTTCCCCTTCTGTTGCGCAACTCCTGACAAGCGATATTTAGAGCGCTCAATAATCCATCCCCACTGTACATGCAGGTAGGTTAAGTCGGTGAAAGATAATCGATATAATGAACACGTCTTGAAAGAATTACGTCTTTATGGATTAGGGAAACAGCGCTATCTGATCGGACGGTGTAAATATACAATGGGTAGGATGCAGTCAGTCCCTTAATACTGATGTACGTGTACATACTGTACACACCGTACCGACTGAGCCGACGCTGAAAGTCTGTATTTTCTACGACCACTGCACACAGATAATTATACGTACATAGATAGTTCTGGTGGTAATGTGGAAGAATATTGTGCAATTGGTATAGCACCTGGATAACATACACAATATGACAAGGCAAATATCGATGCAGAAGCACGGAGTTATTTATTTGCTCCATGATCGGTGCGGTCATCGAGGGGCGATCGACCATCGGTCTCCGTATAGAACGCATGGATTCATTAGCTCTCTGATCTATTATTAACACAATTCCTCCATTGTAAAAACAATCATCGGACTATACCGTGCAAGTACGCTGTTCACCGGTGAGTGTTTGTTTACTACAAATACATAAATATATTTTTTTTTCTAACTTTTTTAAAACTCGACCATCCGACAATTTCGTTGATCCTTGATTTTGTAAACAAGTCCGGCACGGTGGTACAACTAGGGTTCGGTGCATTCCTGTACAGACAGCGGTAAAGGGGCACCAAGGCTTGAAATCCCGGAAAATTT